GGCTGAGAAAGCCTTTATTCCCAGCATTTAAGAAGCAAAGACAAGTGGATCTCTGTGTGTTCAAGGCCAGCAGAGTGAGTTTCCAGATAGCCAGAGCTACAGAGAGACCCTGTATTTAAAAAAAAAAAAAAAAAAGAATCAAATTCAGTATTTTGAAATCTAGGCTTGGGCTTTTTTCTTCTTCTAATATTATCTAATTAAATATATCATGACAAAATTACTTATTTAAATGAATGCCAAAATTACTTGTGGCAGGAGAAAAAAGGGTCATTTTAATGCTTATTTGATTTTTTTCCAAAAATGGAACTACGTTATAAATTTATTAAGTGCTGTTTGATTGGAAATTCACATCATGAAACCTGTTACTTTTACATAAAGAAAATTAACAAAAGAAAGCCAATTCAGAACAGGCATTGTGTCCATAGGCCTGTAATCCCCACACTTGGGAGGCAAAGGCAGGAAGATCCATGGCACGAGGCCATGTTAGGTCACATAGTGAGACTTTGTTGGAAGAAGGAAAAACTACAGATAGCCTGGAGAATAACACACTGTTACCTATAATCTAAACATTGTTAACATTCTCATATATGTATCTGTATACATAGATAAGTATTCTTTTATAAAAATGAGATAATGTATCTACTATTTTATAATTTGATTTTTTAAATTTATCCTTATATTATGGATACCTTTTATGTCAATAAACAGTTCCACATTATATTTGTATGCCTTCATAGCAGTTCACTGTGTGTGTGTGTGTGTATATATATATACATACATACATATATATATATATATATATATGTATACATATATGTTTTTTTTTTTTTTTACTATTTTGTGTGGGGGGGTGTGGGGGTGCATGTATGCCACAGTGAGTATGTGAAGGTCAGAGGACAGCCCATGGGTCTTGCTTCTCTCCTTCAACTGGCAGCCTCTACCTGCTGAGCCATCTCACTGGCCCACCTAGTCAGTGCCTACTGTGGTTGTTGCGTTTCAGTGTGTCTCCCCAAAAGCATGTGCTGGTATCAGCTTTAGTTGACCTATGCAGATCTGTCTGTGAGATCTGGGATTTGAGGATATTAAAGAACAGGTAGGTTACAGTTAAATGCTGTAGACAGCTTTAATTTCAGTGTACTTTTCTACACAAATACAACAAAGAAAGCAATGATCCAAGGAAGGTTTCAAAACACATGTAAATAAACACCAGTAAACACATACTCAATAGTAACAGAGCAGCCCTTTTCCAGAACTTTCTCAGGACAGACCAATATAAACACAATTACCTGGCACATACTATGCATTATATCTGAGGAAGCACAAAAGCAAGGCAGAGAGCCATATCCAGACTCAGGGCACGCTGAGGACATGTCCTTTTACTCGGTAAGGCACTATAGCCGTTTTGACATTTAACAAGTATAAACGTGTCTTATAAAGTGAATGCAAATGTGTGTTGCAGGTGGCACGGAATCGTGTCCAAGAACAATCCAGGGAACAAAACTCACTTGAGGTAAAAGGCTCTCTGCCATTGTTTACTATCTATCATTCTTTGACCCCGTTGTGACATGTTGGTAATCCCAGATGCAAAGCACTGGAAGGCCAGATGCTTAAGTCATAAGGCACCACCTTTGTGAATAGATTGACACAGGTTGTAGGACTTGAATCTGTGAGTTCCTTCTCTTGCTCCCTCTCCTGTGATGTCTTCCACCATACTCTGATTCAGCAGAGAGGCCCTCACCAGATGTGGACACTAGCTTGAATTTCCTGGGCTGTAGAGTAAAACTGTGTTCTTTAAAAAGTTAGCCAATCTCAACTATTTTGTTATAGCAACCCAAAACAGAAGGCTAGGGTTTTGTTCCTTTCCTACACATGCTTTTCGAAAAACTAGGAATGGGTCATTTCCTTAACTCTAATCCTACTTGACAAACCATCTGACCCCATATCAGGACCTACTCTACCCCGAGGCCTCAAACATCCTTCAGCTAAGTTCTTGGTGGATCTTTTTCCATGTGTGCTTCTTTTGTGGAATCCTAGCCAATAAATAAATAAAGTAAAATAAAAATAGAGATGATAGTCCAAAGAAAACCACAAAAGCCAGCTGAAGCATGACATGGACACATAGCTCTGGTATGAAGCGGCCGTCTATATCAGGCTTTATGGAGTGCCGTGTGGAATGTTATAACTCAAAGCCCAGGCAACAGCTGTTGCTGGTGGTGAGAAGAGACCAGAGAAAGGGAATGAGAGCAGGTGGACAGCAAGAATTTAGATTCTAACAGCAACTAGAAAGGAAATTATCAGGGAAATAAGAAAGAAAAACAGGTTATACATGGGGGAAAAGCTGGGCAAAGGTAGGGAGGAGGTTCACCCGTATTGGGTAGGTTGAGGCAGTCTCCTTCCAACAGTTAGCATGGGTGGCCTCCATCACTGTCCCCTCAAGTGAGGACTGTTATACCAAGCTGCAAACTGTTTAACTTGAAGTTTGCTTTGGGATGCTTCCACAATAGGTCTAAAAATACGGTAAGTCCAGAAAGACCAAGATTATAAAAAGAAATTGCAGAAATGTAACCGAGTGAATGGCGTCTCGGGGTAGCATGTGCTTCCTTAGCCCCAGCCAGGAAGTACAGCTCCCAAAAGAGTCGTTTAAAAACCCTGACTGTACCATTTCTCATATGGGATGTGTATATTACAAATGATCATAAAAGGCAGGTCCTAGCTGTGTAGAAGGCTGAGAAGAGTGAGTTCTGGAGCTTCAGACCAACCAGAGCAATGCAGAAAGACCCTCACCTGAAAAATAAAATAAATAATAACTAGTGTCTGGAGAGATGGCTCAGCTGTTAAGAATATCTTTTGCTCTGGCAATGGAACCAAGCTGGTTTCCCAGCCACCCACGAGATGGCTCGTATCTATCTGTAACTCCAGTTCCAGGAAATCAGATGCCATCTTCTGACCTCTGTGGGCACTGCAGACATACACAGGTGATGCACTCATACACATGAAATAAATAAATCTTTAAAGAAAGACAAAAGAAGAGAAAACTAAACAGACGAATGAAATGTGTCTCATCTCTGGCAGAATGATATTTCTAGAGCATACTAAGATAAACTTTCGGGTTGTGATGATGAATATTCTCTGTAGTGTTTTTTGGGAATGTGAAAAAAATATGGTAGTTGTTTTTTGGAACATCATAAAATTTTCTCAAAAGTTGGGCCAATATCAGAAAACAGTGTTACATAATTCACACTAATTTTCTTGGCAAAGGTTAATTATTTCCATAGTGGCCCACCAGTATAAAGCAGAATGGACGTCTCTTATTAATTTGCTGTGCACTTGATACCTCCTTCAACATATGGGAAAGGGCTGGGATGTGGCTCAGCTGATGTTGTGCTTGCCTAGAGTGCATGAATCACCATGTAAACCCCAGTATGGCGGTACAGGTCTGTAATCCTAGCACTCCGGCTGATGGAGGAGGATCGTGTTGAGAATGATAGGGAAACACTTGCATTCTCTGGTAGGAAGTATGCATTAGTATAGCTTTTGGAAAAACAATCTGGGTATAAATATCTCAGTCCCTGTCCCTGTTTGTCTCTGTCTCCAGGGTCTCATGTAGACTAAGGTTGGTCTCTGCAGAGGAAACTCAATGAAACCTGTTATTTTTGTAAAAACAATATATGCTAACAGAACATGATAGTAGATGGTTGTGTAGAGCTGTGGATGTAGCTCAGTGGTAAGAATGCTTGCCAAAGGCTGGAGAGATGGCTCAGCGGTTAAGAGCACTGACTGCTCTTCCAGAGGTCCTGAGTTCAATTCCCAGCGACCACATGGTGGCTCACAACCATCTGTAATGAGATCTGATGCCCTCTTCTGGTACTGTCTGAAGAGAGAAATGGTGTACTCATATACATAAAATAAATAAATCTTTTTTTTTAAAAGAATGCTTGCCAAGCATATGACAAGATCCTGTGTTCTAGCACAGCACTAAAGCATTGTGTGTGTGTGTGTGTGTGTGTAGACATAATGCAACAATAAGATTTGTTGCCTTTTAAATTTTGTCTGTGTACAGATGTACAAATTTTAAAAACTAAGTGTATAATTCTCTTTTTATGGTGGGAGGGGGGTACAAGACACGGTTTCACTGTGTAGCCTTGGCTGTCCTAGACCTCTGTAGACCAGGCTGGCCTCAAACTCACCTGCCTGCATCTGCTTCCCTGGAGTGCTGGGATTAAAAGTGTGTTCCACTATCGCCTGGCTGAATGTATAATTCTTAGGGACATGGAATTAGGTCCTGTCTATGGCAGGTGAGAGATAAAAATTGAAAGTTAATTAAGTCTGAAGCCCCAGGCTTGGGAGTGTACTAGAGAGCAGAAGGGGATGGACAGGGCTTGAGTCAGTCGTCAGCATGCTCCCTCTGAAACTGAAGCCCAGGTGTAGCACACATCGGAGTTCCTCGCTACACCTTCCCTGTTCATTCATCTGAAGCCTTGGAGCTTTTAGTTCAAGTCAAGGTCTTTGTCCTGTTGCACATCAGTGTATTTTGAAGTTGCATTGCTTCCAATAGATCCATCACGTTCTGTGATGTATGTAAGATCTGTAAGTCACAAAAAGTGGATGGACTTTTAGAAAGAATCCTTTTCTGGCACTTAGAAATATTTCTCCCTCCATGGGGCTGGAGAGATGGTACAGCGCTTAAGATCACTTGCTCCAACAGAAGACCCAGGTTCACTTCCCAGCATCCATTTGATGGCACACGACCATCTATAACTCCAGTTCCAGGGACCCAACATGTTCTTCTGGCCTGCAGGGCACTGTATGTATGTGGCTCACAGCCATATATGCACACAACTCTGCCCCCACACACACATGATAATAAAATTAAATTTAAAAAGAAATGGTTTTCCCAAAGAGTTTCCTGGTGTTTATAGGAACACACATTATCAGTTGAACCTTTGCACAGAAGCCCCACGTGATTCTTGCTATTCTCAGCCTTGTCTGTGAGCTAAAATTAGAACTAGGCTGACGTTACTTTTCACTTGGCCACAGCCCGACAGAGACTTTTAGTCATTTGGATCCACGCTGGGGGAAAACATCACCTCGGAATCTGATTCTAGCTGGAAATCTATAGCTCTGGGCATGTTGGCTGCAGCATCCTCCAATGGTAAGTGCTTTTCTGAAACAGTTTTCCTCCGTTCCTTCTGCATAAAGAAATTGCTGGTGATGATCTCACTGAAAAAGTGTACCAACTGAACACAGATTTAGCTTCTGAGCCTTTTAAGGGGGCTGTAGTCACTCATATAGTCGTCATCCTCTGGGACTCCCAAGTGCTGGGATTAAAGGCGTGCGCCACCACTGCCCGGCTTTCCTGAAAGTTAGAATTTTAGATTGTGTTTCTTTGGCTGTTTAACTTTTAGGAGCAGCTGCCCCACTGATTTATTGGCAGGCACGCTTGCCCCGCTGCTGTGCTGGGTGCCTTTCCTTCACAAAGGAGTTAGATGCAGAAATGCCTTGTTACAAACTTGTTTTTTTCTGAAGCAGATGTATAATTTTAGGGGAACTAGTATTAGAGAATAACCAATATTTAATGTTAAACAATGAAATAAGTTAAACAATGAGAGTTTATATAAAAATAATACAATATGGAGATAGTTTGCATTTTAAATATTTTATTTTTTAGGTTTTTTTCAAGACAGGGTTTCTCTGTGTAGCCCTGGCTGTCCTGGAACTCACTCTGTAGACCAGGCTGGCCTCAAACTCAGAAATCTGCCAGCTTCTGCCTCCCAAGTGCTGGGATTAAAGGTGTGTGCCACCACTGCCCAGCTAGATATTTTAATTTTTTATTGTTGAAAGTATTTAGTACATACTTTGACTTTATTAACATCTGATACAATATATTGTAGGAGACATGCTCAGGCAGTTAGGTCCCCAGCACATGTTCTCCAAGGCTCCTCCCTCCCTCCTTCCACCTCTTCCTCTCTTCTTTCATCCATTCCTTTCTTTCCTGACTTCCTTTCTTTCCTTCTTCTATTCTTCCTTCCTTTCTCCTTATTTTGGCAAGGTGTTGTGATGTATCCTAAGCTGCTCTCAAACTTGCCATCCTTCTGCCTCAGCCCATCAACAGACATGTACTATTATGCCTGATCCCAAGGTTTCTTGACTGCAGAAAGGTCTCACACTCGGCTCCCGTTTGTGGGCTCTGCACACTCCACACACATCCCTCTCCGATATGATAATCTGTGTGTTGGTGATGACAAAGCAACCCAACGGTTTCTTCTGACAGCTCCTGTTGGTTTCTTTTTCTGACTACCTCCATGAGCCTTGAATAATTTTTATTTTAAATCTACAATTTAGACAAGATTTAGCCAAACATCCTGGGCTTGCCAAATGAAGATATCCATGGAAAAGCAAAATTCCACAATGTATTCATTTTATTATTATTAATTATTATACTATTTTGAGAAATCATTGTTAGGGGACACTTATTCATAGTGACTGGGAATGTATATCACCTAAGCTGTTTGAAAGCAGTTACAACCAACTTACATTACAGTTCCACCAATGCACACCACTGCGAGGAACTTCCTCTCACTCAAACTTTCAACAATACTTGATTGAGTCAGTCTAGTACAATCAGCCATTTTGATGCAGTATGTATAGTTTACTGTGGTTTAATCTACAGAATCTTACAGCTAAGTACAGTCTATGTTGGGTTTTTTTTTTTGCGATCTGGATTTTCTGGGGTTCTCCTACCTTACTGTTTTTAGTTGATTGCTTTTTTTCCTTTCTTCTTATTAAGTGTCAAATGTAAACAACCAAGTTTCACCACAACATCGTGATGTACACATGTAGCAAGCTCTGGTCACAGTCGCACTTCCTGTGGCCTCTTGCTTCTGTACTCTGTCTTCTGCATGGGCTGTTTCCTGCTTCCTAAAGGTCTCCTACTCTTTCTCATAAAACTGTAAAAAAGATTTATTTATTATGTTATTTCTAAAGCCTATACATTTCTGTGGAGTTGTATACCACATTTGTGTGCGTGTGGATGCCTTTGGAGGTCAGAAGAGGGCATCAGATCCCCATGAACTGCAGTTATAGCCAGTGGAAACCTCATGATGTGGATGCTGAGAACCAAACTTCAGTCCTCAGGAGAGGAGCAAATGCTCTTAGTCATGGAGCTGTCTTTCTTTCTTTCTTTCTCTCTTTCTCTCTCTCTCTCTTTCTTTCTTTCTTTTCTCTTTCTTTCTCTCTTTCTCTCTTTCTTTCTTTCTTTCTTTCTTTCTTTCTTTCTTTCTTTCTTTCTTTCTTTCTTTCTTTTTAACAGGCTTAATTAATTTCCTTGTGTCAAAACCTTATGTTATAAACACAGCTGTCAGGCTTGGTAGCAAACACCTTTACCCACTGAGCCATCTTGAGGGCCCCAGACTTACCTTATGTATCTGTTGTTTAATTACTTTCCCATAGCTGGATGCAAGTCTAGTTGCAGGTTTTCATTATCGTGAATGACATGGTAGCAAAGGAAGCAGATTGGGCAGCAGTTTCTGCTCCTACCACACATGCTCCTTTAAGGGTTAGTTTCCTCATATGAATACTAAAGGCAGTGAAAATACTCAAATACTCATATCATATTTTACATGGGTTTAAAATACAGTATGGGCTGTGGGGGTGCACACCTTTAATCCCAGCATTTGAGTGGCAGGGGCAGGTGGATCTCTATAAGTTCAAGGCCGGCCTTGTCTATAGATCGAGTTCCAGGATAGCCAAGGCTACACAGAGAAAACTTGTCTCAAAAAGCCAAAAAATTAAATAAAACATGCCATGCAAATATATGTAGAATAGCTGGCTGTGCTGGTGTGCACCTGTACTTCCACATACTTGGAAAGCTGAGGTGGGAAGAGCTTCAGCCCAGGAGTTTGAGGCCAAATTGGGCATCACAGTGGACCTTGTCTCTGAGTAAACAGTGAAGGAAGGAAGGAAGGAAGGAAGGAAGGAAGGAAGGAAGGAAGGAAGGAAGGAATAAATGAATGTAGTTTCGGGAAGATACAGGTATCCAACAACATTACCTCTCATGACTGTTCTGGTGCTCATTAATATTCTGAAACATGATGTTTTCCCCCCGTCTGATATACTTAGGTCTTTTCTGAAGTGGCCTGTGACTCAGCTCTTCAGAAGAACTTAATGAAGTAGATGACTTGACTACAATGTGGAAAAATCATGACAGAAAGTGTGGTTTGTACCGGGGCTGTCACTGCTGTAAAGGAAGTCTGGGAAGAAAGAATAAAGAAACACCATGAAGATGTGAAGCGAGAGAAGGAATTTCAGCAGAAGTACGCTCTGACGTTGTTTTAGATTAGTGAAAACTCATAACCTCATGAAAATGGTGTTTCGTAAGAGCTTCACTGAATTTGACAGATTTTTATTTGATGAAAACTCAAGATATTCTTCTTTAAGAAGCTCTACTTTTACTTTATGTATATGAATGTTTGACTGCATGTAGTTCTACCACATTTGTGCGGGTACCCATAGAGACCAGAATAGGACATAGGATCTCCTAGAACTGAAGTTACTGACAGTTGTGAGCTGCCCTGTGGGTGCTGGGAACTGAATTCAGGTCAACCCTTAAAAGAGTCTTTAAATTTTTTCTTTATTATTATTCTTATATGCATGGGTGTTTTGCCTGCATGTTTGTCTGTGTACCTCCTGCATGCAGTGCTCTTGGAGGCCAGAAGAGGGTGTTAGAGCCCCTGATACTGGAGTTATGGATGCTAATGAACTACCATGTGAGTGCTGCAGAGTCGAACCTTGGTACATGAAAAAAATTTTAGAGGGTGTGGTGATTTGAATGAGAATGGTTCCCATAGGTTCCTATGTTTGAATGAGTGGTCTTTAGTTAAGGAGCTGTTTGGGAAGGATTAAGGGGTGTGGTCTTGTTAGAGTGGATGTGGCCTTGCAGGAAGAGGTGGGTCACTTCGATGTTTTAAATGTCAATACCAGGCCCAGTCTTCCTCTCCCTCTCCACCTCCCTCTCCATCTTCCCCTCCTTCTCCCTCCTTGTGCTCCTCCCCTTCACCCTCTTTGCCTGCTGCCTATGATCAGGAGGTAAAAATCTCTCAGCTAATGTGTTATCACCTTGTTGTCTGCTTCCCCCCATGATGACCATGGACTACTAACCCTCTAAAACTGTAAGCAAGCCCCAAATTAAATGCTTTCTTTTACAAGAGTTGCCTTGGTCATGGTGTCTCTTCACAGCAACAGAATACTAAAGCAGCTGGGAAAGGAAAGATTTGGGAGGTTGGGGAGATAGTTCAATTGGTCAAGAACTTGCTTTACAACCTTGAGGACCTGAGTTCAGTTCTCAGCACTCACATAATAAAGCCAGGCATAGTGGCACTAAGCATGTAATTTCAGTGCCAGGGAGGCAGACATGGGAGGATCCCTGGGGCACTCTGGTCAGCCAGTCTAATCTAATTGATAATAATTTTAATATTCCAAGATAATGGAAGATTTTGTCTAAATGGAGGTGTATGGTGTTTCTGAGGATGGCATTGATACTGTCCTGTGGCTTCTACACACATGTACCTGCACCTGTACACAGATGTGCACCTGTACAAACACATGAACATGTACACACGTGCATTTAAAAAAACATTTATGGAGAAAGGAGGTGCCAGGAGCAGTAAGCAGAAAAATTGGGTGCTGTACATACTCTTCTTCCAGGATGGAGACAGCATGTCTTCTCACCTATAGTCCTGATGAACTTGGCCACCTTGGGCCAGACCCTGTAACTCCTCAAACTTGCTATTCTTCTACAAGAGAATCTTCCCAGCAATATACGTGTGTTGCTTAGTTGATTTGCAGAACTAAATAGGCACCAGGAGGCAGGGCAAGCAGATCTCTGTGTGTTCCAGGCTAATTAGGGCTGCGTAGTGAAAATTGTCTAATAATAATAATAATAATAATAATAATAATAATAATAAAAACCAGGGACATCACAGTGTTGTGTGTTGATCAGCAGACCTTCTGGTTTCTGTGAGTCTAAAGTAACCTGGTAGCACATTTCCCTAGCATGCATGAGCACCTAGATTCAATCCTCAACAATGAAAAAAAAAAATCTAAGGAAAGATGATCAGTTAATATCTCAAACTCTTAAGAACATCTTTTCTTTAGAATTTAAAATGCCAGGTACAGAAGGGGAAGTAACTGTACAAAGGACAACTCCCAAAGGCAGGATTACGTCACAACAAGACATTTGTGGTGCTGACTACATTTATAATTCTTGCAAAGCAACCTTTCATTTGATTTCTTTTTTAAAAAACAATTTTTCTTTTTAAATATTTGTTTGTTAGATTTATGTAGATGAGTGATCTGTCTTTACACACACCAGAAGAGGGAATCAGATCCCATTACAGATGGTTGTGAGCTACCATGGCATTGCTGGGAATTGAACTCAGGACCTGTGGAAGAGCAGTCAGTGCTCTTAACCACTGGGCCATTTCTCCAGCCTTCCCCCTCAATCTCCGACCACCACAATTTATTTATTTTATGTGCATTTGTATTTTGCTTGTATGTATGTCTGTGTGATGGTGTGAGATCTTGGAGTTACAGACACTTGTGAGCTGACATGTGGGTACTCAGGATTGAACCCACGTCCTCTGGAAGAGCAGTCAGTGCTCTTAAGCACTGAGCTATCTCTCCAGCCTTCCTCTGATACCATTGGCTCAGTGGCTTTTTTTTTTTCAAAATCAAATATAATTACACCCCCTCCAGTCTTTCTTCCCTTCAGCCCCTCCCATTCACACTTTACCCTTTGCTCTTTCAAATTCATTTATGGCATGGGCAAAATATGACATTTTTGTTTATTATACTATGGTTGAAATGTGAAGATTTAGCAATAAATAATAAAGTAAATAAACAATACCTTGTATAATAGTGAGAATAAAATCTTAACTATTTAAAAAACAATAAGAGTCAAGGTTCTAGGATCAGAAGCAGCACAGAGCACCTGGAGATGCTGCCCATCATGGGACAGCTGTCCTCTGCGTCTTTCACTGCTCCATCAAGCCTTTCGAATGCTACTTTGTCATTACCTGTGAGTAAAAGATGCTCTGCTGTCTTAGGCTAGTGCGGCTCTGGGAAGACCGAGTAAGTTTAACTAAGCTGAAAGAGAAGGTGACCAGGGAAGATGGAAGAGTCATTTTAAGGATAGAGAAAGAAGAATGGAAGGTAAGTGTAGAGGCTCTAGATGCACTTCTTGCTTCTCCACCCTCTGTGCCGTGAAGGCTTGAGAGCACATGCTGAGACTGTAGAGAAGACCGGGATAGTTAGGGGTTCTCATCAGAACAGCACCAGTGAATCTGGACAACATGAACAACAGAGAAGAAGCATAAAATACATGGGTTGTTTCTCTGTCAAAGAGTGTATTTGCTCCCACCCCACCTGTCTCTTGGGTATTTCTCTAAATCCTTCTTTTTGTTTTTTTTAATTTTTGTTTGTTTTTGTTTTCTTGAGCTTTTTTTTGAGACAAGGTTAAAACAAAACAAAACTAGCAACAACTAATAAAATAGGCTGGAAGTGGTGGCTCAGTCGACCTTTAATCCCAGCACTTGGAAGGCAGAGGCAAGTGATCTGTCTGTTAGTTCAAGGCCAGCCTGGTCTATATGGAGTGTTCTAGGCTAGCCAGATCTCTGTAGAAAAACCCTGTCTCAAAACAAATAAAAACAAACTCTTTAAAAGACTTAGTACTTAAAGTGGAAGAGAAATTCAAATTACTGAAATGATTTTTTTGAATATTATAATTTTCTTTTCTTTCCTTTGTGTGTGTGTGTGTGTATGGGGAGTGCTTTTGAGAAAGTGTTTCTTTGTGTGGTCTTGGATGTCCTGGAACTATCTGTGTAGACCAGGCTAGCTATGGAAATCCACCTGCCTCTGCCTCTCTAGTTGTGAGATCAAAAGTGTATACACACCATTACCACCTGGCCTGAAATATCGCCGTTTTCAATTAAGTATGTGTTCTTGGATAGTCCAATACAACAGGGTTGTTCATTAGGACAGACTTCTATGTGTGTCCATTATTGGTCAAAATATGACGTTTTTGTTTGTTATACTATAGTTGAGACGAGAAAGCGATAAATGATAAAGTAAATAAATAACTTGTATAAAAGTGAGAATAAATCTTTAACAATTAAAAAAATAATAAAAGTCGAGGTTCCAGGAGTAGAAGCAGCACAGAGCACCTGGAGCTGTTGTCCATCAAGGGACAGCTGTCCTCAGAGCTTCTACAGAACCCATACTGTCACAGCAGCGTGTTGCATGCTAGATAGAATAGTTCAGGCAATGTCATGACTGTACACATATTTTCTACTTTAGACTCTCCCTTCTTCTTTACTGAAACTGAATCAGCTACAGGAATGGCAACTTCATAGGACTGGATTGTTGAAAATTCCTGAATTCATTGGAAGATTCCAGAATCTCATTGTCCTAGACTTATCTCGGAACACAATTTCAGAGATCCCCCGAGGAATTGGTAAGGAAGATTGTTTTTATTCCTGTGCTGTTTCATCTACCTGCCAGTATGCTTTTCTTTGCTTTTTTTCAGACCCCCACCCACAAATACATGGAATAAATGTCTTATCTTTATATATTTCTGAAACTTGAAAACATTTTAAATGTCTCATCCAACTTAAGTCTTCAGAGGATCCAAATGTCTGGAATTATTGGGGTGGAATGTGAGAATATTTTCAAATATTCTGTATATTTTGAAAACAAAATTTCTCCATTAACTATCTTAGAACACACTGAAGGCAAGAAAGAAAGAAAATTTATCAAACCGTGGGACAACGTCCCCTCTTGCAATATTACTCAGGATGTATTATGCTGTTTATGGGTTTTGTGTTGAAGATCAAGTCCAGGTTCTGGTGCATGGCAGATTGTACACCATCTACAGCCACCTTGATCCAGAGTACATAGTGTAGATAAAGCAGAATGGAAAGACCATTGGCCCTCCCTTGTGGAAAGACAGGAAGAGGGAAGAAGGAAATAACTGAATTTGCTAATTTGCAAGTAATTAATGTATGTAAGTAGCGCTTGGTGACAGGAGACACTGATCCATCTGCTTCCTGTATTGTTGATGCTGTGGTACAGGACTGCTCACTAGACTTCAGGAACTGATTCTTAGCTACAACAAAATCAAGACTGTCCCCCGAGAACTGAGCAACTGTGGCAGCTTGGAGAAGCTAGAACTGGCTGTGAACAGAGATATAAGCGACCTCCCAACAGAGGTCAGAAAATCTAAACGTCTGTTTTGTTTGTGTCTACTAATAGTTTGTTTCTCAGGCATGTGATTATTCAAAAAAAAAAACTCATGAAGCAATGTTACGAATTTTATTTTAGAAAATAAATACTTAGTGAAAATCATTTTTTTTAACCAGAAGGAAAATCTTTTATTAGAACAAACTCTACTTAGCATAAAAGATTGTTCTAGTCTTATCACTGTCCTGGATTACTTGATGACTAGGTTTCTCTCTTTGAAGAGAAGACTGAGAACTGTATTTACTTAATTTAAAATTCCCAGAACAAGGAGACACCTGGTTTGTATGGTGGCTATACATATATGCTTACATATTTTGGCCGTCTTAAGGGTTGAGTTCAGGGTCTCGTGCATGCTGAGCAGACACTTTGGTACTGAGCTACACCTCCAGCCCTCTGTCTGTCTGTCTGTCTGTCTGTCTGTCCGTCTGTCTGTTGTGAGGCAGAATCTTACTGCATAGCTCACTGTGACCTTGAATTCCCTCTTATGTCTAGGCTGGCCTCAAACTCCCAAATTCTCACACCTTAATTTTTTTAAGTGTAGGATTGGAAGATACATCCATGAATTAGAATCCACTTAATGCTTTTTTTGAATAAATATGTTTGTGGTTATTATGAAAAACAGACAATGAGAAAATAGAAAATCTCCTTTTCTGGTTGATTTTTAGAACATGCTCACTCCTGAAACAGACAGAATGTAAGACATGAATTGTGGGAGGTGTGTTTCATGGTGGCATCCTAGGCTTTCCCAAGTAAAAAGGTAGCAGAATGGAAAGGCTTCTCCTGCCTTTCATTCAGTTGACAAGGACAGCTGCTGTGTTACCTTCCAAATGAACGAATGCTCTTAGAACCAGCAAGAAGTTTCTATGCTTCTTCTTCCTTGAAAATAATGACTTTGCAAGATCAAAATTAAGAAAAACAGTAACATTTAAAACAAAAGGTACAATTCCATTTTCTTTGACTATATAAGATTTTACTTTCCCAAGCCGCTGGACATGTTTTCAGTAATAGTCCCTCCTCCCAGCTGGCTCTTCTAAACATAGCACATGTGCCTCATCGTATGTTGGCTTTATTTAATGAAAACATGAGAAAAATGGCAGCAGGGACAATTGATCTATGTAGGAAGGCTAGAATGTACGGTTTGTACAACTTGTGATTTTGTTTCCGGGAGTAGGCTCTGTCACTAACAAGCTATGTGAACTTGGACATGTTATCAACCAGTCTCCTCATCTTAGATTCTTGAGGAGACAGGTTACTGTTGTGTGACAAGACGTTTCCTGGGGACATGCAACACACGTCTACTCACAGAGAGGGAGCCCATAACAGACCAAAATACAGATACTACTGAAGTCCAACTTGGTGAGAACCATAAGTTTCCCCAGGGTTCCTTATGTGAGTATATAGGAGCTACTTACAGGAGCAGAAATAACTCACAGACAACTGCATTAGCAAAGCCCACTCCCGCACAGGTGACAGCTCACTAAAGTTGGGTACCTGGAGCACACTGCACAGCCAGCAAGCAGCTCTACAAGTTGGAGAGTGTTCTTTCCAAGTGACAAAGCTGGTGTAAACCTCTTCCAGGCAGCTGGTCTGGTCTCAGAGTCTTCCTTGATTCTTGGCTTGTCTGAGAAGATGCTCAGTCATCTTTATTGTTTACTCTTGGGTTGGAGGGGTCAAGTGAATCCGGTCAGTTTCAAGTATTTCCTGGAACGAATTTAAATTGTTTATCTTCTTGTTCAAGGAACTTTCCTGTAGGATGAATGTTTCAATATTAGAAGAAACTGCTACTGAAATAGAAGAAAGATTGTTCTGAGATCTTGAGCCCAGAAGCATTTAAATGTCACAGTGTGTCCTCTAAGTAGCTATGTGTGTGGCACTGGACACAGCCTCTTATATTATACTTCTGTCTTCATATATAAGGCTGTTAGTTTTATCATCCTTTCAATCTTCTATAATAAAGGGATTCTAGATTGATGTGGTGGCTTTAAATTTCAGCACTTGAGAGGTAAAGGCAAGTAGAGATCTTTTTCTTGGCTAGCCTGGTTTTCATAGCAAGTTACAGGCTAGCCAATGCTACAAAGTGAGACTGTATTTCAAGAAAACAAAACAATTAAAAAGGATTCTAGTACTACTGAGGGGCCAGCAACTGGAGACTTCTCTGCCAGACATTAAATTTTACATACTTCATATGGACATGTACCCATTAACAGACCTTTTTATACTCCACATTGAATCATTTGATAGTTGGAAAAGCCTGAAACAGTTTTCAAGAATGAATTTTTGAATTGGCTTGAATGTGTGTGTAGTGTGTTTGTGTGTGTATAGGCTAGATGTTCTCAGGTGTCTTCCCCAATCACAAGCTGCTTGGGCCCTTCTGTTTCTGCTCCCCAGCACTGGGTTTTCAGGAATGCTATGACATCTGGCTCTTTACTTAAGTATTGAGAATCCAAACTCAGGTCCTCATGATTGCACGGTGAACTGTTTATCTACTAAACCATCTCCTCATCCTGCCTTTTTGCACTAACTAAAAAACACTGTGTTTGTGTACTTCTTGATGAAGATGGGATGGAAGGAATTGAAAATACAGAACCTTGGCAACCAAATGGACAGGCTGTTTTGTAAATATTAACTAAATTCTTATACTTTAAAACTTGCCCAAGCTACCCTCAGTCTTTAGGACTTATAGGCATGTACCATGGTGCCCAGGTTCTATTAGCCTTACATTTTATTTATTGTGGACTCCTGTGTCTAATCAAGGCTCAAGTGGAATGCTGGAAGTTATTCAGCTTCATGTGTGCTTTGTTGTGGACGAGGACTTAAACAAAGCTCACGTACCATGAACTGTTTATATGAGATAGCTTATCAGTGTGAGTCTTCTAGTAATTTACACTGTGGATGATGATTTAAAATCTCTCCTTTCTTCTTCAGCTCAGCAAACTGTTAAAACTCACTCACCTTGACCTGAGCATGAACCAGTTCACTACAATCCCTCTTGCTGTGTTGGACATGCCTGCCCTTGAGTGGCTAGATATGGGAAGCAACAGCCTGAAACAGCTCCCTGACACACTAGACAGGTAAGATAGACTTTCTGCTACTGATCATTCAAAGCCACCTATGAAAAATAAGGAACAATAAGCCAGACAACTAGGAGCCCAGGAATAATCACAACAGAGCCAAGTAGTTCAAAATTCATTCTTTCAGTAGCCTGTTTTCATTATTATGTAGGAGGATCTGAGGAGGGGAAAACATTAACAAGAACATGCTGCCGTAACAACGTGCACCAGATAGTGCGTGCCAGACACTTCTCTTACGCACCAAAAGGACAGGGAAAGGATGCTGAGATATTTGTCACATATGTCCAGGTCTTGGCAAGTGGCGTTAGTTGGATTTAAACCCAGGAATTTTGTCCTGAGTCCAATATTGCCATGCTCAGAATGGGCATATTAATAGTTCCTGATTTTTAAGATTCATATTTGGTGACATTTACATCTGTTCAATTAGAAAACTATGAAAAACATGACATGTAAAATTTGGATTCATTTCTGCCAATGGATGAAAGCTAATCTTTAGTGAATTCCCTGATGTAATTTCCCTGGCAATTAGGTAATAAAGAAGAATGAACTCTGTTAAATAAATGCATTTTATTAAATGTTAAATAATAATTAAGTAAATAATTTAATTGACTAAACATTAAATGTTAAATGTTACAAATGAGGAGTCCAGCTTTTCACATCCGAGGTGACTTACTGCAGAGTTCTAACTTTCCAGAATGCAAAGTTTACACACACTGTGGCTGCAGAGGAATGAGATAACATGCCTGCCAGAGACAATCAGAAATATGAAAAACCTGGGGACTCTTGTTCTCAGCAACAACAAACTACAAGACATCCCAGGCTGCATGGAAGAAATGACGAATCTGAGGTAAAAGGGTGTTAGAGCACAGCCATGCTTACTGCTGGAAGCAGAACAGAGTAAAACAGATTCCAATCAATACATTTGGGTTGTGATTTACACGAATCTGTGTGTGTGTGTGTGTGTGTGTGTATTTAAGACTTACTTTTGTGTACAGGTGTCTTGCCCGTTTACCACTTGTGTGTCTGTTGTCCCTGGAAGGCATACGAGGGCATTAGATCTCCTGGAACTAGTCTTACAGAGGGTTGGGCTGCCATGTGCGTTCTGGGATTAGAACCTGGGTCCTGTAGAAAAGCAGCCAGTGCTCTTAACTATTGAGTTATTTCTCCAGCTCAAAAATTTTTTTAAATATATTTTCTAATGTTGAAATTTAATAATTTCTTTTCTTTTTCTTTCTTTTTTTGTTTTTTTTTTTTTTTCGAGACAGGGTTTCTCTGAAATTTAATAATTTCATGAATGTGTTTCATGCAACACTGATCTAGCTAATTCAAGAATTCTTGAGCCGGACGATGGTTGCACATGCCTTTAATCCCAGCACTTGGTAGGCAGAGGCAGGCAGATTTCTGAGTTCTAGGCCAGCCAGGTCTACAGAGTGAGTTCCAGGACAGCCAGGGCTACACAGAGAAACCCTGTCTCGAAAAAAAACAAAAAACAAAAAACAAAAACAAACAAACAAACAAAAAAGAATTCTTGAAACTAAAACAGTAGTGGAATTTATGAATTTAAAGAAATGTCTTTTGTTGGTGACAATATTATAACACATTCCTTTATGCTGCTAATAAATATCCTTTGCAATACAAAACCCAAAAGGATAAAATAGTGATCGTTTTCCTTCTTTATAGCTACATGTAGGCACAGGTAATTTATATAGCCTATAGAAAGCAGACTTTTTTTGGGCTACTTAGTAGAACTCCAATAAAATTCTCTTTAAAATGTAATTTTCTTGATGGAGTAGGGCAATGGATATCTGAACTTAAAACTTCTGCAACCAAAATAATTCATGTGTTGACTTATTTGGCAACTTTTAGTTTTGTACTTGATGGTTAAGGCACAGATCCATAAAAATAGGCACAAACTATATATGTAGCATTAATCATGTACTTATGATATAACTTGCCCACATTAAGTACATTGTGAGCTAAAAGTTGTCTTTGTAAGCTTTTGGGGAAAAAGATACTGTTTCTTCTAGCAAAGAAACTTAGAGATTCTTGGATATATTAGATCCCAGCAAGATAATCTGTTATTGAAACCAGTTAAAAATTAGTAATCCAATATGTGTCATTTGATCTTTCTCCAGGCAAATAAATATACATGCACTTCTATGGCACCTATAAAAACACTGTTTTCTGGTGAACTGCTAGGTTTGTCAACTTCCGAGACAACCCCCTAAGACTGGAAGTGACACTTCCCCCCAGTGACAACACAGATGGAGAGGAAGAACAGGAGCTATTTGGGCTACAGTTTATGCACGCATACATAAAAGAGTCACGGAAAACAGGTATGAGGTTTGAACAACACAGATTCGATATTTTTGAAGACAATGTGTACACAATTAAGTTCTATCTTTTCATCCTTTTATGGGTGTCTCATCCTATGTTGTTGTTTCCATCACACAGTGGTCATTCTGGCCAACACTGAATGAGGGGAGAAGGGATTTTGATTCTGTTCATTATTCTGATAAGTACTAGGGGAGAAGCTGTAAAAAATAGCACTTCAAATGGAACAAAGGAAATACTTCTTTAGTCAGGCCCTGGCCGCAAAACCGAGAGAAGGGCTATGTCCTTGTTTCTCTCTGTAAATACACTTTACAGGGCTGGGACTCACACCGAGGCAAGCACCCAGTCACTGACAGCTACACCCACCCTCAGTGTGGATTTTAACTAACTTGTTTTGTGTGTATGGGTGTTTCATCTACATGTATGTCTGTGCAGCATGTACAAGGAGGTCTGATGCAGATGTGATCTGGGGTGTCAAATCCCCTGCAACCGGAGTTACAGACACTTGTTAGCTGCCATGTGGGTGCTGTGGGAAACTCAACTTCCAATGGATGTGCTCTTAAACACTGAGCCATCTCTCCAGCCCCCCAGCCACATTTGATTCTTAAAGAATCATTACTTTTGTCTACCAAGTGGTAGACATCTCAGATTGAGCATGAGCAGACCTTCCTCATCATTCTGTTTTTCTATAATCGATGAGTAATAATTAAAAAGTAATTTGATCTCGGGTGAAGCGTACTAAGAACACGGACTTTATTCAACACTTAGACTATGAGGCATAAATTACAGATTACGACCACATAATCTCATAATTTAGAATTAAACATTTCTATAATCAGAGTTTTTAAAATTAAAGCAAAAGTAGAGGAATATGGCAAAGGGAACTATCTTGTTAATAAAAACACTGAAATAATAGTATAGAAACTAATACACTTGCTTTGTAATTAATACAAATGTCAAGTGTTATGGATGTAAAAGGAAGATCTTTAGCTAATTCCAGGTACCAAATAGTTACTCTGAAAGGAGGTGTAACCTGAGGGAACAGGGACAGCCTTTCCACCAGAAGAAGCCCTTCCCCAGTGTCCTGAGGCTGCGTAGGAACGTTCACTTAGGAAGGAGCCACTGCAGCTGCTGGAGCTCACAGAAGCAACAGTGTGAATGACCAGCTGGGGGATGGCCAGCAACAACGCTCAGAACAGTTGGTGGCCCAGTTTTGAAAAAGAGAGGACAATGCCAGCATCAAGCAGGAGACAGAATAATTATGGAAAAGAATTTAGGATGAATCTGGTCCCATCTGGGGCAACTGGATGGTAGTACCCTGCTGGGGAACGGAGGGACTGAAGCTGGTTTCGTGGCCAGGTTTGGGGAAGAGGCTAAAGATGAGTAGCAATTTTAGCAGTGAGTTTGAGGTTCCTGTGGGACATGTATGATGTGGTAACTGTGGACGTGAAGTTCAAGGGAGCTTGCTGAGCAAGAAGTCTGAAAGTCAAGAAATAGCGATTTAACACACGTTAGCTCACACTAACATTCTAATGAGGCAAGAAAAAAAAGGTCAGGCAAATAGGACTCTTCTCTTATGGTCAGCACGTGAAGGATAAGCTTATTTCCCCGTACTCAGAACCATTATCAGAAGGTATAATTAAGCAAATGGCTCATAGGACTGTTTCAGTATAATTCTTGGGTATGCTGTATGTCTTCTGAAACACAACTAAGATTACGCCCAGTGTAAAATATTTTTATTTCTGGGCATACATTTTTAAAAGGTATAAAACAAATATTGTGACACAAATGACATTTATGACATAAGGATAATTCTTAATGAATTATCTTTACTTAAGTTCTTCTGATTGGGAAGTATGAATAATTAACTTAAGAATTATCAATGTATATTAACAACATTGTTGTCAACGTAACAAAAAAGCAACAACTTAAAACAAAAAATAAAAATATATACTAAAATAGATTCCTGAATTGTTATTATATTTAGTTAGTATTTACTCTGTGCTTGGAACCTTTAGAGAGGCTTACCTGGGATATCTCATGTGATACTCACAACTTTGTGAGGTAGGTTTAGTACAGCTACATCATCCTTACTTTAAGAGGAGAAAACAGCCGGGCAGTGGTGGTGCACACCTTTAATCCCAGCACTTGGGAAATTGAGGCAGGCAGATTTCTGAGTTTGAGGCCAGCCTGGTCTACAGAGTGAGTTCCAGGACAACCAGGGCTACACAGAGAAACCCTGTCTCGAAAAAAACCTAAAAAAAAAAAAAAAAAAAGAAACCTTAAGAGGAAAAAAACGAAACACAAGGAGCTCGAGTAACCTGCCATCTGGAAGGTGGTCTGGTTGGAATTTAAGCCGAGGACAACACATGAGATTAAAGCAGAAAGGGCAGGAATTTAAAATGTGTTTGGTGTCTTATTCATGTAGTCAGAGGCTTACCACATACAACAGTGACTGCAGTGTCACTTTAGCAGCTAAAATTTGCAATTCTGAATCTCTGTCTTTGCATCTTTACCAACAACTAAAATAATGTTTACAAAACAAAATGTAGAGCCAACTCCAGGGTAGGAGGTGGGAGATAACATGTTTCTGTGACACGTTTGGTTTAATATTTGCTTATGCACGGACTCCTTACATATATGTAAGGCCTAAATGTGATGTTTTAGTTTCATTATCTAATTTTCAATTTAATCCAAATCATTTTCCTGCTGGCATGGGCACATGCCTTTAATTCCAGCACTTGGAAGTTAGAGGCAGGCAGATCTGTGGGTCTCATGTGCTGGGATTGAAGGCAAGTGCCACCACTGCCCAGCTACTGCTTATTTTTTTATAACAGTTATTTATATTTATATTAATATATATATTTATAATAGTTATTTATACATTAAAAAGAGGCTGATAAAAGATAGAAGGTACATAATTAATTTTAGAAGTCATATGCAACTTTTAAATTTGATTTATGTTTACAAACATTATTTAGAAGTTTGAACTAGATAATTATCCAACAAAGACCTAAAGTAAAAAGGTTACTTTTCCCTTAAAGTTATGTCTTCAGTTTTGGTGTCAAGGACAGATTCTGAGACTACAAACATAGGTACGGCTTTAGAACTTCAAAGGTGATATGTCATTTGTCAATTTTTTTTTTTTTTAAGATTTATTTATTTCACCTATGTGGGTACACTGTTGCTGTCTTCAGACACACCAGAAGAGGGCATTAGATTGTAATGGGAGATATTTAGAATACAGCACCCAGTCCGGCTTGTTTCTGGGCAGCTGCCATGTTCCTGCTGCTCCCCAGCTCTGACTGGGGCTCTGGCTAACTAGAAGCGCTGGCCCTGGCACCCAGGAGTCTCCAGCTGGTGGCTTGCTCTGCCAATCCACCACGCTGTCCACAACACTGGGCTGAGACCAGACCATTTCTGATATGCCCGAGGTACCCAGTAGAATGAAGACTCTTAATGCTTAAAGATTATCCAATAGATATTTGGAAATGCTTAATTAACAAGATGCCCACACAATTAGAGTTGTTATCCAATATCTAACCTTTTGATAGAAGTTGGTACCCAGGCTCCTCACTCCGCCTACGTTTCGTACTGCCCAACCACAGAGCTTTGTGTGTGTGTGGGGGGGGAGGTGGGGAATTTCCCACTACATCAGATCCCTTTACAGATGGTTGTGAACCACCATGTGGTTGTTGGGAATTGAACTCAGGACCTCTGGAAGAGCAGTCAGAGCTCTTAACCACTAAGCCATCTCTCCAGCCTCCCTCATTTGCCAATTCTTACATTTCTACATTTGTCTGTGTTTGAGAAAATTACAATTACTTTTTCTAGACCTGTACTGAAAAAAAGCCTCACACTCAGATTGATCCTTGTTATATAAACCTATACTGTTTATTACAACTGGAGCTCAAAAAATGAAAAAATATCAAATAAAATCAAAGATAAGTTTACCAGATTAATAGCCAGAGCTCACACTGTAATTATATGCTGATGCTATTTATTATATCTTCCAGAAGACCAAGTCGACTGTCTGACTCATATGCCAAGCTCCATACAGCCTGAGGGATAACGTAATTTAAAGAGCCCTGCTGAAAAGGAAACTTTGACAACTTGGTGGATATTTTTGTGAATATCAAAATATAATTTAAAAATAATTTAAATTCTTTTGTTTGTGGAGGATAAACATCATGTTCGTGTTCCTTTCATTGATGATTTTTTTCCTGCGATGACAGATGAGCTGGTACAGCAGTTAATAACACGTTTTCCAGAGACACCAGTGGGTCCGTATAGTACTGTAAGGCAGGACTGAAGCCTTTCTGCTGTAAATACTGGAGTCGGCCCTGGTCAATCAGCAGTTTGCAAAGATGTCCTATTTTTTTCTTTTCTTCAGCAGTAAGAATCCTACATTGAATAAACACACAAAAAATTAAAAGTTTGTAAAAGTTCATAAAAAGTTTGTAGTACACAGCTGCTAACTAGCCAACAGTACACTAGGTGCTATGTCTGATGTTTCCGAGACTTTTCTTTATGATCACAATTAAGATATGTCTTAGTTTATCCTAAAATTAGAATGTAAGCTATATTTTTCTAAATTTTTGATAACAGTTGTCTAAGAAAAAGGGACTCCTTCTCCTTCTTCAGTTTCACTTTTTACACCTGATCTCAGCCCAATGACTAAGAAGCAACTATTTGATTTCATTTCTCCAGTTTCTCTTGTCCAAGGTCAATCAGCCTGAAAATATTAAATGACACATTCTGAAAATGAATCATTGGTAATGTCATTCTGGGTAGCACAGTGAACCACGGGCCACCCGACTCCTCCCTGTCTGGGGATGGACCTGTGCCTCGATCATGGGCATCCCCAGCACATCCACACTGTATGTTACTCTCTAGACACTGTGCTGCTATCTTGGTTACCAGATTGACAGAGTAGGTAACTGCACTGCTAGCCTCTGTTTTATTTAAGGTTCTCAGCGTCTGTGGGAGGTCCTGCAGTACCACCCACGGGAGGACTAGTTTACAGTGATAAAGTATCTCTCCTGCAGCGAGGTGTTTACAGACATCATCACTTACCCAGGCAAACTGTCAGTGCTGCCATCTGTGAGTCTGTCTCCGCCATCATCATGCTCTTCATTCTCACCCCTCTGAGCAATTTTTTTCTCTGGAGTAACATCCGAGGCTTCCAAAGATGTCCTCATCCCACACGTTGCCCAACTACTCATCCTCTGGAAATAGTAGAACTCCACCGCCCCAAGTCCAAGAGCCTTGAAATACTCTTTGCCCACATAATGTCTCCACTCACACCTGTGGTGACAACAGAGTGCAATCACGATGCCAGCCACAGGGGTCCATGTCTCTGGGACAGCCTTTTCATTTCCTTCCTTGGCCAAAGTGTTACTTTCTTTTTCTGTCTTATCATTCTTTACGCGCTTGGCTAAAGGTTCTTCATCCTTTTCTTTAAAACTGGCAGCGTAGGTTTCAACCAAACATCGTAATGCAAGATCTGCAAACACAATCATGTGCCCCACACCAAAACACATCATCTTTAAAGGCATTTTTCAGATTTCTTAAGCAGCATGACTAATACAAAACACAACAACAACACAAACCAGCAAAAATCTACTTAGCCATACATTGTAACAATTCTATCAGATATTATAATTTTTTCTCAAATTTTCCATCTTAATTTTTCTAGTGATTTATTTGCCCAGTATAATTGTTTTAAATAAAATTAAAGCAATAAAGTTAAAACCAAGCTTAAGTCCTATGATTTGAAAATTTTCTGTCCAACTCTTAGCATTGCCTTTCATTTCTCCTATTCTAGCTCTAGTTATAAGCTTGAGAAACCCCAAAGACAGAAACAAAAGAAGGCAGTTTCACTTAGAATACTGACTCAGGTTTGAGAAGGTAGGCTTTTGGTTTTGTTTCTGTTTTGAGATAGGTTCTGTATAGCTGATGTTGATCTCAAATTCCTGATCCGTCTGCTTGCATCTCCTGGTGGTGGGGTTACAGATGTGTGTCAGCACACCTGGCTAAGATGCTAGTCTTGAAATGTAGGCTGGTCACAATAAATAGTGAGGAATTGAAAAATTGAGAAAGGGAGATTCCAATGTAGAAAACAGGCTGAAGAGCTTTTCTGTACATCAACATTTGTTCAGCAAATATTTGCTAAATGCCTTGCGTATACAAAACACTGAGGATGCAAGGATTAAAACTATCACACTAGGGGCTGAAGGGATGGCTGGGGGTTAAAAGCACTTGCTGCTCTTGCAGAGCAGCCAGGTTTGGTTCCCAGCACACACAGGGTGGCTTAAAACTGCCCAGGGGTTCTAGTTCCAGGGGATCCAGCACCTGTGTGGGCACTGGATATGCATGCACTGCACTTCCATACATGCAGATAAAATATTCATACTCATAAAATAAAAATACATTTCTAAAAAAACAAAATAAGCACTCTAAACTGCCATACAGTATAGCTGGCAATATTGGAAAGATCACAAATATATGCTGTAAAACTTCTATTTTCTCTGATTAGATTGTTATATCATACTCTAATTACCTAAAAACAAATGTGGTTTTAAAATTTACTACCCTATGACATATCTGATATTTTTTCTTTTTTTTTTTCTTTTAAGATTTTATTTTATGTATATGAGTATAGTGTAGCTGTCTTCAGACACACCAGAAGAGGGCATCAGATCCCATTACAGATGGTCGTGAGCCACCATGTGGTTGCTGGGAATTGAACTCAGGACCTCAGGAAGAAGAGTAGTGCTCTTAACTGCTGAGACTTTTCTCTAGCCCAACTTATTTGATTTTTATGGTAAATTTTAATCATGCCAACAAGCATTATTGGTAACTATTCTTTGGATAAAGTGATAGCTAATTTGGTAATTTCATGGTCTGTCTGTGTCTCTCTGCCTCTTTTTTCTCAGTCATGAGAGAGTGGGTCTTATGTTGCCTGGACTGTGTATGGACTCAAGTCATAGTTAGCTCAGCTGACCCTCTCGAGTCAGCTTCCTGAGTATGTGGGGAATAAGTATGCCACTTCACCCAGGTCTATTATTTTCTAACAAAATATATTTTCTGTTTAATTTACATTTGACTTAAACATAATTTTAAGAAGTGAGAATAATCAGAAAAAATATTAGAAGTACTAAGTTATTTCAGAAACAAGGAGAGTATTAGCAATCTCAAGCTCTTTTATAGAGACATTAAGGACCTTCTTCTTAGAAGATATAAGGAGGCAGCAGCAAGCTGGTGGCTAAGGTCATTCAAATATTCATGGAGTTGTTCTTCTACAGCATTATATTAGCATATACATCATTCTTGTGGAAAAAAATCCCAGCACAGTGTAGTAATTAGACATCTGAGCAGATAATTAAAAAGCAAGCAAAGCTATGTGGAGTATGTCCTGATGACACTAAGGAGGCTCCAGAAACGTGGAGAAAGCTGAGCTGAAGGAGGAACAGAATCTGGACTAGGTCTTCTGAATGGGTGACAGTGGAATTCTAGGAATGGCTGGAGCAATGTGGGATTTAGGAAAATACACATAGTCCACAGCGATTAGCAGTAAACCTAGAGGCAGAGTGACCAAGAGTGTCAAGGGGAAGGAAGCTAGTCACAAATGGGTCTGAATATTAATACTTCAAGCACAGGGACCCAAAAATGATGGAAGAAATGGAGCAAGGGAACCCATAAGGGGGAAGTACCAAGTGAAAAGGACACTTTAGCAGGAAGAAAGGGGACCCACGCAGTGCACACAGAGGTGAGAGTGACCTGGACATGGGAAGCAGCCACTGTCAGCTAAAGTTTTGAGAGGCAGGGGTTAGATGAGAAGGGCCACAAGTGTGTGCCTCCTTCCCATGCCAGGGCGACACTGCTTTACTTTAAAAAGCTTTTCTGTGAGTTAACCCAGAGTATCGGCTGCGGGGTGGTGGGGCCATCTTGGCTACAACTCAGTGGTTAGCTTAGAGGTTACTGTGTGTCTGCTCACTTACCTGTTGCGACCCCACACAGATGCTTCCCAATTCCTACCACAGGCAGTCTTCCTTCTCTTAGCACAGGAATCCTGTCTGAGAGAAAAGGAGGTAATAAGTTAGTTTGCTTATGATATGAAGTATTAATGTGTCCTTCCAAGGAGGGTTTCTATAATCTGAATCTTAGGGATAAAAGTTGTGAGAACAAGCAATGCTCACAAACGCCAATCTGCAACCTAAGAAAATGTCTGTGTTTAGGTATCACATGGAAAGTATTCGGCTAAACAAACAAATTTCCCCTTTCTAATTGTGTAGTACTTGCTGGTCTGGAATTCACTATGTAATCTGGGTGATCCTCCTGCCTCAGCTTTCCAAGTGCTGGAATTACAAGAGTACATACCATACCTGGCTTCAGTTAAGTGATAAAAAATACAATGATTTATATTCAAGTGCTTGGTTGCTTCTCAAGACTAGCTTAGTGTGAACTCTTCCTGAAGCACAGCCTGCAAGGCCAGATCTAAGCAGCCCCCAGAGGCTGAATGTCTGCTTTGTCGTAGAGCAATAGAGAGTTACACAACTTACTCAAACACAAGTGTTGGATATCAATTTGAAGTCTTTCAAACACTGAGTTCTTTTTTCTGTGTTTACCATCTACCTGCATAAATAGAACATTATCAAATCAGAACTCTTAATGTTAAAAAAAGCTTTATGAAAATGCTTCTATTTGTTTTCAAAATTCAGAGTAAATACACTTAACTTTTATAGTTCAAAAAAGAATGAATTAAAAATGTAAAGTTTTAGTATTTTTGGATGAAAACTCAAAAATAGCAACACCCATCTTATAAGGCCAGAAATTGTATTGATTATTACTAATTACATTCACATTATGTCTTTTATCTATAATTTCCAGCCCACTCAGAAAGCCACCAAAGTCCACAGATGTTAAGTATGGTTACCTGTTACTACTGGTTCTACCGTGGCTCACTCTTCTTACTCTTTAAAGACAAGCGTTTTAACCATTATCCGCATGTGCCTGTGAATACAGGCCCAGGCCTGTCTAACAATCATCAGACGCATTAACCGCTCCTCCACCACCCCACTTTGTTTTGCTTTTTGACAGAGCTAGGGATTGAAGCCAGGACCTCATACATACCATGCAAGCAACTGACCAGAGAGCTACAGCCTCAGCCTCATCGTAAAAGTATTTTGTTTTCTTTTCTGATTCTGGAACTTGAACCAGGGCCTCATGAATACCAAGCAAAATAGCTACCCCTAAACTACAGCCTCAAGCCCTCAAAAATATGTGAACAGAACTCCTGTTTTTCTTCCTGAAGAATACCCTGTGTCCTATTGAGTCAGAAACCACCCCTGATTACTGCTCTCTCAAAATCAATGAATAATAAATCAGCAAATGATAAATTTTAAGGCTTCCAACATTTTAACTTTCTCATTCACTTCCTCTCCTCTATATTCCACTGAATGACCCTCGCTCTCCAGTACATTTCTTACTTGTATTATTGAATAAAGATTTTCATATTTTCAATCTTCCTATATTTATCTAAATCTCTTTATAATAGTTTTGCAGTGTTGCTAGGATAGTTTCTAAAAACATTTGTGTGTGTGCGTGTGTGCGTGTGTGTATGTGTGTGTGTGTTATCTGAGGAGGTCAGAAGATGGATATTGAACTTCCTAGAGCTAGAATTATAGGAAGTTGTGAGCCGCCCAATATTGGTGCTGTGACCAAACTATGATGTTTTGGAAGAGCAAACAGCACTATGTCTCTAGCTCCACAGAAAATTTAAAAATCATTATTTTAAACTTCCTCCATGATAACTCTGAAGGCTGAGGTTAGTTCTCCATCTTCAGGTTCCTGCAGCTCAGGGTACCACCCATCAGAACAGCACTTAGAGAACTAAAATACTGTATGGAAGCTTCTTTGAAGCAAGAACCAAATTTTCCACAGTATCTCTAACACAGAGCAGAATGAAGGCAGAGCATATGACAGGAGACCTTTCTAGACCAGCTCTCCTTCCTGGTTCAAATTGTCACGTTCTATCTCATGTCATATATTTCCATCACATAGAAATCTTTTGTGCAGTGTATGGAAGCTTCACCTGTCAATAAAAGGCTGTTGGCCTATGAGCTTGGGCAGGAAATAGGTAGGTGGGCATTCTGGGCTAGAGAGAGAATTCTGGGACTAGAGACAGGAATGGCACGGGAAGGGGATTTGTGCAGGAACTCTGGAGGAGACAGGGGCATAAACCTGAGGAGATGTAACTAACTTTGTAGCATGATTTAGACTAGCTTAAAAGGGTTAAATAAGTTACAAAGTCAGGGAATAGAGCCAAAGCTATTAGCTTAGGCATTTATTCATAATACTCAGTCTTTCTGGAACTGGGTGCAGGAGGAAGAGCCTACACTTACATGGAAACGCTTCATCTGTTATTTCAGGCTTTGGTTCCACTGTTCTTATTTCCCAAAATGCTTCTCACGTCCTATCTAGCAAAGCTAAGTGATCTTTCAGGATGTGTCACAGGCATCACCTTTTCTGCTCGTCATTCTCCACTGCCTCCCTGTAACAAAGTCTAGCATGCCACACTCTGCGGAAGTTACTCCACTTCAACACTTTACTTACACACTTAGCTGGTTCTTTCCTAAACACATTTAAGAGCACAGCTGCTTCCTCAGCATCTACCTGTATATACAGAGTGCTTATCATGCTGTCCAAGAAAACGCACAAGTATTTAAGGAAGGAAGAGTCTGTCAGCAGTGGCAAATGCAAGGTGAGGACATGGCTTCATTTCTAGCGGAAGCCTGGTTCTGTTCACAGATTTTCTTGTCTCTGCAAATAACTTTATGAACTCAGATTATGGACTATCAATAGTTAACATTTTAAAAACTTATCTTCAGTTTAACCAGGACAATTAGAACCAAACAAATAACGACAGCAAAAAACTACAATAAAATATATAAAAAACAAAATTCATTTTAAGAGACATGTTCCTATTATTTTCTTTTTTTCCTACAGAAGAAAAATACGTTTGGTTATTAAGATCCTATAATGCATTTACTTACCTTGAATCTTGTGGTCACTTTTTCTACCAGGATGAAGTGAACGTTTTCAGCATCTTTTAAGGCAATATCAACCCAGTGAGATAATTTCCCCTTTCCTGCTCCAAACTCAACAAAGCATCTTCTTGGACCAAGTAACTTTAATTTTTCAATGTTACCTAAAATAGAAGCCTGCAAACCCCATAGGGTTATTGTATAAACTAGAGCAAAGGGATTCAACTCAAATTGGAAAACAGCAAGGTAATCTCTACATAAGGCAGAAGGTTTTTATTGATAATTTCTGAATGGCTAAGAATTTTTTCCTTTTGCTTGCTTTAAAACAATACTCTGCACTCAGGGTCATAGCCATGCCCAAATTTTTATTTCATGTTCACATATAATTTTGAATGAAAGTATTTTGTTCACTAAAAGAAACTAAGTAATTATACTCAGAACCAAATGTTAGCTTTTTTTTTTAAAAAAAAAACGTTTTTTAAGACAAGGTTTCTCTCTGTAACCCTGGCTGTCCCAGAACTTACTCTGTAGACCAGGTTGGCCTCAAACTAAGATCTGCTTGTCTCTGTCTACTGAGTGCTGGATTAAAGGCATGTGTCACCACATCTATGTTAGCTTTTAAAAAACTACTTTTATTTATTGTGAACATACATACTTGTTGCATGTAGAAGTCAGAGGACACTTTGCAAGGTTCAGATGACTGAACTAAGGTCATCAGGCTTGGCAGCAAGTGCCTTCATCTGATGAGCCATCTCGTCAGCCTGGAATTTTAGCACTAACTATATGAAGAAAAGTTGAATGACTGTGTCTAAACATACCTGCTGTTTTAGGTGCTTGACTGCACAATCACCATTTCTCGGGTCATTAAGGGCATCATGTAATGCTGGATGGGACATAATGTGATCTTCATGTGTAGAATTCAAGCCTGTGACCAAAAGAAACATGAGGGCTAGCTTAAGGAGCAAACATGAACTGAGACTGAACAACAGAACGGAAGGAAACTCATATGCTACCTAGAGACTCTCAAATCACTGAACCTGCCACTTTAGGCAGACTCACCTTCACTTGCTTTTCTCAATTTCTTGATTAAGTTTTCCAACTGCTCTTCAGATAGAGAAGAAAATGGAACCTATATACAAACACAAAAATAATGTAGTCAACACACGCCTTACAGTACCACGGCAGAGACTGAATAGAAGCTTAACAGCTGGGCAGATTCCTTGGCAATTTAGGTGCTTCTTCCTGGCAGAGCTTTGTTCCTTCAGAACTGCCCAGCTGTGAAGGCACCACTCAGTTCTGCCCTGATACTTTAACTCTCCTTGATCCCTCAGGGTCTGTACTCAGCTCACAACAGAGCCATGTTGCAGTTATGGGACATAAGCTTGCCTTGGAACTAACCATCACTAACAATGTACTTCTACAGGAAAATATCTCCTAAAAGTCAAAACAATAGATATTTGTAAACAAATTGGAGAATAGTCTGTACAAGGAGACAGCTTATAAATACCACTTAGAGTTAAGTATTAAATAATACACTTACCAATTGTTCAGGAATTTCTGTTTCATCTTTTAATCCTGCATTTATATCTTGAATAAAGAAATCCTGACAAAAAAAAACCACAACATAGTATTAATATGAGGCTGAAAACAATTAGTTTGAAGAACTGCTCCTTCCTCTCACTCTTCCACATCATCACCTCTGTCACACTCATTTATCACCAGATATTACTGCACAGCCATGACCACAGTGACTGGGTTGCTGATTGGCCTCTTGTTTTGGTGGATGGCTGAGTCTGATCCATTGGGACACTCCTCCCCCTCACCCCCACCCCCAGAGTTAGGCCAAAGGGAACAGTCTTATTCTCTCTTTACTCAAGGAGCTAAGTCCTAAAAGCGTGGATGAGAGGTCACTGTTTTTCTTGTATATTAACTTCATGTTAAAATACCATGCTTTTCCTTTGATATAGGATCTTACACAGAAGCTCAATTGGTAGCCAAGGCTTGCCTAGAATTTATTATGCTGTCTAAGCTTGCTTATAACTTTGGGTAATCCTTTCTAGCTTAAGTCTCCCAGATGCCAAGATTATAGGTATAAACTGCTAAAGATAGCTAAAATACTTTTAGCTCATAGCATCTGGAGCAGTGGTTCTCAACTGAGAGACATCTGAAAATGCAGAGGGGTATCTGTTGCAAAATGACTAAGAAGAGGGCTGGGCAGTGGTGCAAGCCTTTGATGCTGGCACTCAGGAGGCAAGAGGCTGAGGCAGGTAGATCTCTGTGAGTTTGTGGCCAACCTGGTCTACAGAGAGAATTCAAAGCTGCTACACAGAGAAACCCTGTCTCAGAAAACCAAACCAAACAAAACAAAAACCCAAACAACCACAACAAACCCCACTAACAACAACAAAAAATATATCTTGAGATACACATTGTAAAATGGTTCATATCACGAAGCAAATGAGCACACTTACTATTTTGTATAGTTACCCACCCTCAACTTATGTATTTTGTTCCCAAACAGAAATCTGAATGTTTGGGCTGGAGAAATGGCTTAGTGGTTAATAGTACTGGCTGACCTTCCAAAGGTCCTGAGTTCAATTCCCACCAATACATGGTGACTCACAACCATCTCTAATGGGATCTGATGCCCTCTTCTGGTGTGCATGAAGACAATGCGCCCATAAATACTCATATACATAAAATAAACAAATCTTTAAATAAAAAAGAAATCTGAATTTTTAGATCTTGCTTAGGTGGACACTGTGAAGGACTTCCACGGATCAGTGCTAGCTCAAATTCACTATCTCTATACTAAGTTTGAATCTCAAAGATGTCCGGCAGTTACTCTTATGACCTTAATTCTAAACATTTACTTCTGATTTAAAATCTCTTGCTGCACCATTACCTCTCTCTGTCCAGCTTCAAGATGGCTGTGGCAGCATATACCTATCATCTTAGCACTTGGAAGCATAAGAAACATTTGAGCTGTGTTGAAGACCAGCCTGAGTATTACAGCACAGTCCCCTATCTCAAAAGCAAATAAACAAACAAAATAAAACATGAAATAATTATTCTCGGCTGGTCAAGGTGCCACCCACCAGTAATCTCAGTACTAGAGAAGCTAAGGGAAGAAGAAGAGGGCCTCAAGTTTGGGGTCAGCCTGGGCTTCAGAGTGAAAACCTGCCTCCTATCTAACCAAACCAACAGATAAAACACAAGAATAGAAAAGAAAAGAGGAGAGAAGTATAAATATCAAATGAGTATGGTACATTTGCACAATTCAATCTGCATCTTGTAATACTAAGTATTTATATACAAACATCACACATGCATTTCAAATACTTACAGGCTTAGGCTTCTCTCTTGAATTACATTTTTTCAAATGTTTTGCTAGTTGGTCTTCATATACTGTGCTAAATTTAAAGAGAAAAGTTAAGACAGAAAATTTTTTTTTTTTTAAAGATTTTTTATTTATTTATATGTAAGTACACTGTAGCTATCTTCAGACACCCATATGAGGGCATCAGATCTCATTGCAGATGGTTGTGAGCCACCATGTGGTTGCTGGGATTTGAACTCATGACCTCTAGAAGAGCAGTCAGTGCTCTTAACCACTGAGCCATCTCACCAGCCCAAGACAGAAAAATTTTTAATGAACTTTGTGAAGTTTACTGCTTCTTAACACATCACACAAACAGACCCCCCCACACACACACATATGTGCACCCCAAATGACAACAGAAACACTTACATAAACCCATATTAGATCCCAACTTACTGTTTGGGATCTAAAGGACACAAGATTCTTTTCCGAGCATTTTCTTCCTAATAAATTAAAAGGGATACATTTATTTAAATATCAAGTTGATTACATTCAGATGTTAGATACACCCACAGTGTATTTCTATTCCTAAAAGGAGGTAAGAAAACTGTAAAAGGATATAATTAAAAATAAGCAAGATTAGGTCATGCAGCATAACAATAAGAGTCTCCATTGTAGCTTGCTTTTGTATAAATGAACACATACTGTTTTGGCTTGCTAATGTAATTTTGCATAAAAGATATCACCTCCTAAAAATGGGTAAAGTTATTATATGCACCATTAAGAAAGATGTTAACCTTCGGGCAGTGGTGGCGCATGCCTTTAATCCCAGCACTTGGGAGGCAGAGGCAGGTGGATTTCTGAGTTCGAGGCCAGCCTGGTCTACAGAGTGAGTTCCAGGACAGCCAGGGATGCACAGAGAAACCCTGTCTCGAAAAAACCAAAAAAAAAAAAAAAAAAAAGAAAGATGTTAACCATTTACTTCAGATTAACTAATAACAATATGTAATACTCATCACATATTAAAATGATCTTTTGAAATACATATATACTGGGTATAAGTGGCTAAACTGAGCTGACTAAAATACTCACTATTTGCATACATATTCTTTTTGAAAAATGTTGCCCATTTAAATTGATTTTAAAATGCATATTTATCTAAAGTTGTTCAAATGTGGGGAAATGCTGGGCATGGTGGAACATGCTTTGAATCTCAAAACACCAGAAGAAAGGCAGACAGAGCTTCTGAGCCAAAGACCAGTCAGGATAACCCTCAGACTCTGTCTCAATAAATATAGAAGTAATATGCAGAAGAAAATATGCCAGGAACAATGAGGCATGGTACCTTAACAATTTAGAATGAATCATATCCACTGGCTTTGCAACTTTTCAAAATGCTAGTACAGTCTTTCAAGTTATATGCATTTAATTATAGGCACTGGGAGAAAAGCAAGGAAAACAGTATTGGCAGGTCTATCCTACCGACTCTGTCAACACATATGCAATTATGATGGCCCAATTATTAAAACCAGAGGCTAGTGGTTAGGTGTGGTTCTCAGCTCTTTCTATTAGCTGCCAACTCTATGACCCTAACACTTCCTGCCTCATGTGAATAATAGTATAGACTCCCTATATTAAGTATAGACTTACTATATCACTATTAAATAGAATAATAGTATGACTTACTTCCTAAGGTTTGTGAAAATTGAATTTTTGAAAGCAAAATAACAACTGTTTAGTGCTAGCCATACAGCAAAAGGTGACCAAGTATTTACTCTTAATTTTTCTCAATTATTTATTTCAATTTATGTCAGAATGTTCATGAAGTTATGCACATTGAATTTTAGGGAAAGCTAAGAAATTTCAGTATTAAAAAATAACATATTATTTCATGTACAGATTTTAAAATTTAATTTCCAGTGCGATTCTTTGATGGAGACCAGCTAGTTGGGAGGCTGAGGCAGGAGAATTCCTGAGATCAGGCGTTCAAGACCAACATGAGAAATTCTGCAAGATCACCCACCGTCTCAAAAACAAAGAGGAAAATTGTCTTTCAAGGGAAATAATACTCTAACTTGGCAAAGCCTAATCACAGAACACACACACACACATACAAAAGCATTTTAAAAATCTATTGTTGGAGTGAATAGAAAGTGTATAGCAGGTTATTAAAATGTTTTCTTTTGGTGTAGAAGGTGGTGAGACTTCCTGTGTCTTGTAGATTAGTAATTTCCCTGTTCTCTATCCATTAGAAGCCACTAATATTTTTGCATTTAGAATCAAAATGTCTTACGACAATACTGTCTGTTGAGGGATGAAAAAAATGCACTTTGCTTTCAACTTTGAAGTTAGTTATTTTACGTTAATTTTTTTTCTTCTCCATCCCAAAATCATTACAAGTTCATATAAGGTGCTCCCTTAAGTCTAAGCAAAATCTATTTCTAAGTTTCTTCCCCATGCATTCACAAGTGATTATCGTTCAAAAAACAATAATTATAATTAGAACCCAATTAGTAAAACCTAATGATTTTTTTTCAAACACTACTTTGTAAAAATAATCACTTCCCATGAGGATGGGAGACTAGTGGAAGGAGGAGTATAAAGATCTCTGAGATAGCACATAGGACGCTTTTCTTCGTACAAGAAAGCAATGCTCCCCAGGAGCTCATCGGGGCTCCAAGCGGTGGTCAGAACTGCATTTACTTAAGAAAGAGCTGGAGAATCCATGGGACCGAAGCAGAAACCTGTCAAAGGGGCGAGGATGGGTTCCAGCACCCACAGACCCGCAATTCAGTTCCGATTCTCAGGAAGGTAGGGCGATAGCAGACCTCCGCGGATCCAGCGTGTTCACCACAGAACCTTTTTCCCGCGGCCGCCACCATCCTGCAGAAGCGCTTCTTCTTTTCCACAAAGTAGCTGCATCTACCGTCGGTTGGAAAACCGATCGCGGGCGAAGTGGCCACAGGAGCCTCCATAACGCTGGGTCCTTTTAGCCTGGCTCAGCCCAAAGCTGTCAACTTCCTTTGATCCCACTTCCCTTAACAAACGTGGCCGCCTGAGGGGGTGGGTCCACGGAAATTACGCATCACCCTGGCCTGGTAGTTCCCCGAACCGGAAGAAGGTGATGGTGGCTGACGAGGTCCAAACCTCCTTCGTTCCCTCTGTTTATCGTTTCCCTCCTCCTCCGCGGGAGCTGAGCGCCAAACTCAAACTCTTCTGGACCGGCACTTCTTTCAAGCTGGTACCGAGGGCCAGGCCTACTGGGCTTTTCCACCTTCCCGTTGGGGCAACGGTCCGACATGAGTCAAGTTCTGTTCCAGCAACTTGTTCCCTTGCTAGTGAAATGCAAAGACTGCGAGGAGAGGTGAGCTCCGGGTGCCGGCGGGTGGCGGTTGGGGTCGCGCCAATGGGGAAGATGGCGGCTGGGTTCAGTGGGGCTCGGTCCGCGGGTCTGTGTCGGACTGTCACACCGGGACGCGGGAAGGAACCCTGTGGGGACCTAATGGATACCTTTGTCGCCGGGTCGGCCGTTTCGGAGGGGACGCGAGGAAAGGGAACGAGGAAATGGGAAGCCGACTCCCTCACGTCCGTGTCCTGGCTCTGAGCAGGACTGAGCCCAGCCTGTCCTTTCTGGGTGGAAGCTCTGATTCTCTCCCGTTCATTTCTGCAAAGCTTCACGGTGACTTCAGGGAACCGTCCCCACTAGAATTCATGCCTCCCAGCCCTTCACTCGTGCTCTCCTTTGAAGGACATTGGGAGTGAAGCTTTAGAACAAAAAAACAAAACAAAACATTCAAGTGACATACTTCGGCTCACGTCAGTTACAACCATTTAACCAACCCTCAATACTGGAAAATCAGGGATTCTGTATATCCAACGCATAATGTCAACCCGTAAAGCACCTCGTTGGGCCCCTGGGGATACCTTGATCTTCACAGAGTATTCTATCGCACAGATAGATAAATGCAAACTTGTAACACTAACCACAGGCGATGCTATTATGGCTCAAATAGATTTGATTAGAAGTTAAATGTGATTTTCCCAATAACTTTTTAGTTGTTATTTACTTTCTGAGAACATTACATTTTGTCATTGGAAAGGTGATTTAACGCACCTATCTGCTCATACGATTGCAATGAAGACCAGGTGTGAAAATATTTGTAGAAACTAAACAGTGAAGAAATGTTTCATTAAAAAAAATGAAGACACTGATTTATCGAGTTACTGGACTGTTAAACCATGGTTTAACATGACTTAGAATTAGGTCTAGAATCAACCAGCAAAGCAGTCAGAAGAATGGACTGAAAATATCAGCCATATATAGGAATCTGTAGGTTATCTTAATTGTCTTATTGCTGTTTGTTTGATTTTGACAATTGACCTGATGCCCTCACTTAGCATGCTCTACCACTGATCTGTACCCCCTAACCCAGCCTCTAATTGGTGATTATTTTGTGATGTCTAATTTAGTGGCTATTAGCCACATTTAGACATGTAGTTATTGAATTCGAGCTAATCCAAACTGATGTCTGTAAGTGTAAAATTCATAGACTTTGCAGGTCTGCTAGTAACAATGTAAAACATCTCAATTTTATGTTGATTATCTGTGGCAGCTTTATTTAGGGTATATATATATATATATATATATGTATATATATATGTATGTATGTATGTATTGGTGTCAAATGTATTCAAATTAATTTTACTTTGAAAGTTATGGGTCTTTGTTAAGGTGACGTCTAGACAGTTTAAAGTGACATACATAGCTCACATGTGTGGCTTCCATTTTGTTTCCGTTGGGCACTATGGACCATTACTTGTGATTCTAAGCTTGACACTCCCAACTCTTCTACAACACATTAAATTGTAATCAGAGTTAATCATGTTAAAACACAACTTCAACTTTAAAAATTACTCTTGTTTAGAAACCCGATATTCCTATCACCTGTGGCAAGGATCAACCAGCTGTTCCTAAAGGAAATTTTTCTGGAACACAGCCATTCTTATTTGTTACTGTCTGTGGTTGCATCTGCACAAGGGCAGAGTCAATGAGTACTTGTATGGGAATATTGGCTGGAAAAAACCTGTGATTTTTATGATAGATTGCATATATATATATATATATATATATATATATATATGCCTCAGCACTGCAACAGCAACAACAAGGGGTGGGGGCAGGGTAGCAGGGTATTGGAGAGGAACACTACAACACACAATTGTGACAGAAACACTATAGCAGTGGTTTTTTGACCTTCCTGATAATACAGTTCCTTATGATGTGGTGACCCCCAACCAAAAAAAATTAGTTTTGTTGCTACTTTGTAACTGTATTTTTGCTATTGTTACAAGTCTAACATAAATATCTGGTTTTTCTGATGGTCTAAGGTGACTCCTGTGAAAAGGTTGTTTGACTCTCATGGGTCTTGACCCATTCGTTGAGAACCACTGCTCTACAGTCTTCAAAGTCTAAAATATTTACCCTCTGGCCTTTTACAGAATAATTTTGCTAACCCCTGACCTGTAGGAAGAACTACCTAGATTCTTTAGCCAACTCTTCAAGAGCAGTTTACCCCAGCAAATACTTACCTACTGTGTACCACGAACTATCCTGGGTGCAGAGAATGTGCAACAGCAACACCACCACCAGTCACCATCGAGGTTCTCAGGGAAGTCCCAGACTCAGAATTGAGAAGACCCCCTTGGAGAAGCAGTGTAATGCAGGTTCTAAGTTTAGATCTCGAGCTAGACTGCCTGGGTTTAAGTCAGTTCCAATTCCGCCGCCGACTGACTGGTCTCGGACAGTTTATTTACTGTGTGCGCATTTCTGTGGGTTGGACCTGCCCTTGCAGCATGCTCTCATAGACTGTCACCGTACTATGCCCCCAGCTCCTGGCTCACACCGTTTACTTCACTATTTTTTGGTCTCATCTTTAAATTCAGAATAATAGTACCTACTTCATGGCATTATTATTGAGGATGAAATTATCAAATACATACAAAGAGCTTAAAATAGTAACTAGTATATGTTGAGTATTCCCTAAATTTTAGTTATTAGTAGTAGTAAGGTGTGATTAGTAAGGTATAATAAAGGCATAGTAGAGGGGAAGGTGGCTGGGTAGACGACAGTGTAACTCTCAGGGAACCCTACCTGGAAGGAAGTGGTGCGAGCTTTAACCCCAGGATTGGATAACCACCTGCTCTAAGGTTTTGATCCCTAAACTGTCTCAGTCATCACACAAGGACTCAGCTCCTCTTGATGCCGTGTGTTCGCTCTGCTGTATCTCCACTCCTGCTCTTCCCTCTGCCTCACATGCTCGTTTTTTTCATGACTAAGGTGCACCCCCCTCCTGTGTATGTGTGTGTGTGTGTGTGTGTGCGGTGTATGTGTATGTATGTGTGTATATGTCCATGTGAGTATGAATGGGTGTGGAGGCCATAGGTTGGCTTCTGGTATCCTTTTAAATTGGTCTCCATTTTAAAATTCTTATTTTATAAATTACATATATTTTATGTGTATGGAGAGGAGAGTATGTGTGTGCCATGGTGTGCTTGCAGAGGTCAGAGGACAGCTTTCAGGAATTATTTGGGCTCCAGGGATTGAATTTAGCCTGTCAGACTTGGGAGCAAGTGTTGTTACCCTCTGAGCCATCTTGCCAACCCTCTACCTTATTTTTTGAGACAGGGACTCATTGAATGCAGTGCCTTACCAGTTAATTGCCTAGGCTGCTTGGCCTGGGGATCTCGAGACAACACCCTGTCCCACCCCCCAGAGTTAAAACACATTGGCTTAAAAATTTTTGTGTGTTTATGCCTTAACATTCAAAGGGTGTGTGTGTGTGTGTGTGTGTGTGTGCGCGCGCGCGTGCACGTGCGTGCGTGGGAGTCTGCCTGTCTGCCTGAGAGGACCTCCAGAAAAGGAAAAGGGTGTCAGATCCTTTGGAGCTGGGTCTTTGTGACTGCTTGACATGAGTGCTGGGGTACAAACTCTGAGAGAACAGATATGTGCTTTTAACCACTGTCTCTCATTCCACACCCAGCTTTTTTGTTTGTTTGTTTTGTTTTTTTGAGACAGGGTTTCTCTGTGTAGCTCTCTGTAGACCACTGGCCTTGAATTCCCAGAGATCTGCCTACCTCTGCTTCTCCAATGTTGGGATTAAAGGTGTAAGTCACCACCACTACTTGCCTGCGCCAGCCTCCTCCCCCCCCCCCCCCACTTTTAATGTAGTTGTTACAGATCCTAGTGCAGATGCTCATGTGTGTATGGCAGGCACTCTACTGACTGTGCTGTCTCCCCAGTTCCCCAAGGTAGAGCTTAAATACCTTCCCATAAGGATCTTTAAAGTTGTCCAAGATGCCAGGCATGGTGACATACACCTTTAATTTCAGCACTCAGGAGGTAGAGGCAAATGGCTGTCTTTGGGTTTGAGTCTAGCCTGGTCTATTCATTGAGTTCCAGGACAACCAGAGCTACATAATGAGACTCTGTCTCAAAAAACAAAACAACAAAAGTAGGTGCCAAAGTTGAAATTAACTGTCATTAATTATTTATTAGGTAACATTATGTAGGGAAGAGATGAGTTCAAATTTCGGCTTTGTAATATGCCTCAGGTTCTTCCTCTGATTAGAGAAATAGTCACTAAGATTATTGTTGAATGAGCTCTCTCTCTCTCTCTCTCTCTCTCTCTCTCTCTCTCTCTCTCTCACACACACACACACACACACACACACACACACACACACACACTCATAGGTAGCCAATAGTGTAGGTATGTAGTAGACAATACTAGCACTTTCCTTTTCTTTAGGTCTTCTCTGGAAGTCCTATAACAATCAGATGTTTATTTCTGTTTGTATCCTTAGCACCCAGCAGAGTACCTGGCTTACAATAGCTTTTATTTGTTTGAATTGAGAGGATAATAAGGTCACAGCTTCTGAATGACAGCAATGGGCTGAAATCCAGCTCTTATGCCTAAGGTCTAAGGTCTTTATTTAAAAAGAAAGAAATCTGCCTAGCTATATTTGACTGGTCTGGTGGGTGTTAATCAGATACAAACAATGTTTAAGGATTGGGATTTTATTCATTTGTTTTAGTGCTCTTATATCATGAATCTTTCTAATAAAGAAAATAAGATTTCTCTAATAGAGAAAGTAATATATCTGCAATCTCAGATTTTTCTGTGATGTATTTCTAAGGGTATTTATTTATTTACTTATTTACTTACTTATTTATTTATTTGAGACAGAGTTACTCTGTAGAAACCAGCCAGTTCCTGGCTGTCCTGAAACTTGTTCTGTAGACCAGGCTGGCCTTAGACTCAGAAGTCCAACTTCTCTACCTCCCGAATTCTGAGTTTTCTACTTTGCATAGACAATACTTTATGTCGATTTGGCTTTGCAATTAAAATATGTATGTAACAGGATAGTAATTGTCATTTTCTTGAGTTTAACAATAATGTAAACACAGGTGGTAGTGGCTTGTGCCTTTAATCCCAGCACTATGGAGGCAGAGGCAGGTGGATTTCTGTGAGTTTGAAGCCAGCCTGGACTACAGAGGGAGTTCCAGGACAGCAAGGGCTGCACAAAGAAACCCTATAGGGGTAGGGGGAAAAAAGCAAACATTATTATATTTTAACTTTTTAAGATGGTATATCTTTGTGAGTCAGTTTGATCATTGAAATGGTAATTTTTAGACCTAAAAGTAGTTACTGAATTGATGGTCTGTCTCTTAGTAGATGCTTTTTAGAATCCGGCAGTAAAATTGTTTACCAGAATACTAGCAATAGGCATCCTGATTGTTCACCATATTTAGTCCACAGTACCTTTATTTTAAAAGTGACAAATATTTAGCCTTCCATTAAAAACTACCAGGATACTTACTAGAGGAACAGACTTAAGACTTATGTCCAGTGTACTTTCTAAAAATCTGTTCATAAGCTTGAGGGCACCTGTGAAAAGTCTTGTGGTTTAGGATAAAAATGTTATCTGTTGTAAAGATAGCAAACTTCATGTTGCTTGAACATTTCTGAGTCGGTCATGTCTTTTCCTACAGGAGAGGAAGCGTTAGAGTAAGCATTGAACTACAGTCACTTACTAACCCAGTACACAGAAAGGTTCGTATTTACTTCTTTTTTGAAATATGATCATTTGTGTGTGTCATGAGTATTATTGTGGTTTTGGTTTTTTTGTTTTGTTTTAAGAAAATGAGATCTTTTCTTACCCAGAGTTAGTCATACTATAATCACTAAGGTGGTTTTTATCAGGGATGCTTATCCATTATATTCCATACATGGTGACTCTTGCAGTTTCCCCAAAGAGTGAGACATTCTACTGTCCAGTTTGTGGTCATAGTCAACTGTGCTTTCCCTGATCTCAATCTTTTTAGAACTGAAATAACAATTGCTGAATTATTTTTAAAGGGTTACTCTTTTGTTAAGTCCTCTTTTCTTTTCTTTTCTTTTTTCTTTCTTTCTTTTTTTTTTTTTTAAATTTTGAGTCATTTTATAACTGTTGTAAGTCTAAGGTGGTGAAATCTTAAGTCAGCAATTTAAATGTAATTATACCATGCATTACTAAATCCAAGAAGAATTAGGGGTTGATGTAACATTCTGGGTTTGCCCTGAACATTTAAAAGATTACCTTACTCTTCATTTTGTTTTAGAGTATAAATTCCATGTGAACTTTTTACGTTGAATATGGTGTTGTATGCTTGTAATCCCAGCACTCGAGGAGGCAAGAGGATTGAGAATTCTTTGAGATGCAACCTGAGCTACATAATTGACACCCTGTCTTTAAAAAAAAAATAATGATAATAACAGCACTAAGAATATGGGCCATAGGACTAAGTGTTGCAGCTTTCCCTGAGCACATGCAAGCATCTTGTAGTTGGCAGTAACTTTAGGTGTTGGCTTGTTGTTGGTTTTCAGTAGCATCTGAGGTGAGTTTTAAGAAGTACTTAAGTAGAAGTTACTGAACCATGGGCTGTTCTGAGGCGGAGTGAGCCCCTAGTTCCTTGATTTTTCTGGAACAGAGAGTATATGTTCTTACTTGTTAATTTTACATATGGTACCTCTGCATTTTTTAGCTTCACTGATAAAATGCTTCAAGGTTTCCAGTTACCCTCTAGCTGCTGAGAAATGAGTCAATTTTCTTCAAGTTCTTTGTTAGCTCCCATAGTATGCCCGCTTTCTTTGTACCTTGAAGTTCATAATTTTTGTGTACCTACCTGCCATCTATGATGCTCTGTCACACTTTAAATTTGACAACCTGGCAAGTATCTTTAAGAGAGGAACCCATTTCATTAGAAATGAAACAGATGGACCATCCCCTCAGTGGCCAGCTGGAGCAGGAGGCCTCTTGGGAAGCCTTGGAAACATGTCACCTGATACTTCATCTTCTATCTGAGCAACAAGAGCCCCTTCCATTTCTTGAGTAGATAACTGTCAGTTTTACTAATTTGAGGGAAGCCAAAAATAAATTTATTCAGTCTTGCCATGATGCCATGGAGCGCAAATCTGGTATATAAATTTCTCTGAGCCTCATAGAAGATACTTTGTTAACTTCTGGCATTTGGTAAGCTTCCACATACCCCTAACAGCTCACAGGAGCCGAATGTCTACCCTCAGTTAGATGCTCGTGCTCTAAAGACTAATAAAAATGAGCAGCACCCTAAAGCAGGACTCTGAAGTATAACTGATATGTTGTTGTTTTGAATAATTTATCTTTTACAAAAGCTTTACTAGAAACACTAAGAAACTCTAATCTTTTCTTTAGGATTTAGTCATCCGTCTGACTGATGATACAGATCCATTTTTTCTGTATAACCTTGTTATATCTGAGGAAGATTTTCAAAGGTAAGTTAGTTTTTTGCTGGCCCTCTATATAGTCTAGGAATTATTTTTTAAATTTTATAACGTGTTTACACTGTTCTTTTTTGAGACACATACCTGTTCAGGTGGTAAGTTATTCCGGGAATACTGACTGCCCTACAGTTGTTTCCTGGATATTCTTGAAGTTGAACGTTTTATAGATTATCAGACTTACATTTAAGCAGCTCAGAAATTTGATGCTGTAGCTGAATTTCATAACTCCTGTTAGATAAGGTTGATACATATCAAAAGCATCCCTAGTTTAATTTTTTTAAAATAATGTCGTTAGTAAATAATATATTCTATGAATCATAACTAAATATAGTAACTAAGTTTCTCAAAAGCTGTTTTTCTGTTTTCTGTGTAGTTTAAAATTGCAGCAAGGTCTCCTGGTGGACTTCTTAGCTTTTCCACAGAAGTTTATAGACCTCCTTCAGCAGTGTATGCAGGAGCACGTGAAAGAGACTCCAAGGTGAGGTTGAGTGGCGGGAGCACTGGACTCCCTTTGAAGGATGAGTGCTGACAACATTATTTTCCATGTACTGCAAATACTTCAGTTTATTTTTTTTTAAACCGGGATTATGGTTCAACTAAATCCCAAATTTTAAGAAGTCTTGACTAAAATAAGAAATATTTGACCTTTAATTTGTATGGCTTGATGTAGTTTTTAAAGTTAGTTGGTGTTAAAAAAAATTGTTTTCCTAGGATTTGTTTCTTATTTATGTGTCTCTGTGTGTATGCTCGCACCCTTGGAGGCCAGATGGGAGTGTCAAACCTCCTGGAGCTTCAGGCAGATGTTAGCTCTCTGAGCTGGGAGCTGAACTTGAGTCCTGGGAGAAAGCAGCAACTGTGCTTAACTGCTGAGCCTTCTCAGACCCCAAGCTAGTTCAACTGTTTAATAATATTTTTGTTTTTATGATTCGTTATGTTCGTGGTTATATTTATGTCATGGTCACGTGCTGCTGACACCTGCTCATGTAAAATTCACAAGGTGCTTTTTCTTGGCTTGAACAACTGATGAGTATTGTTTAAAATACTGTTTTATTAGAAACTTAAATGTTTCCTGTACCATTTTTTCTTCTTTTTATTTTATCTTATTATTTTGAGACAGGGGCCCACTATGTAGTTCTAGTTGTCCTGGAACTTACTGTGTAGACCAGGCTGGCCTGGAACTCAGAGAGATATGTCTTCCTCTACTTCCCTAGTACTGGGATTAAAGGCACTCGCCACCATGCCTGGCTCTTTTTTCATGTTTATTAGGCATAATTCTCTATAAAGGACTCTTATCAATCAAAGCTATAGGGTCAATCTGAGAATTTATAGGGAAAAGGATAAATCTGTAATTGTTACTTTTGCTTAAAGGTAAGTTGTCGCAGTAAGGAGCTGGTACTTTGGTCACCCCTGTGGTATTTGATGAGTTTATGTTTCTGGGTTTTGCTTTCTCTCTTTCCTTTTTTGTCTCCCATTGTGAACATTAGGACCATGCTTCATTCCAATGATTTTTAGTTTCTCCCTTTCACCATGTTGAGTTGTGGCATGTGATACAGTGGCAGGGTCTCGCAGGTCTGTAAGTGTGTTGTAATGTGGCTTTTCTCTCCACAGGTTTCTGCTGCAGCTCATTTCTTCAGCTGCTCTCTTGGATAACTCACCGGTATTTTTAAATGTAGTAGAGACAAATCCTTTTAAGCATCTTATTCACCTGTCACTGAAGCTCTTACCTGGAAATGATGTAGAAATAAAGAAATTTCTAGCAGGATGTTTGAAATGTAGCAAGGTACATCTTTAAATTTAAGTTACTCTTTTAAACTAGGGACCTAAGTACTTATAAATCACTGTGGATTCACACACACACACACACACACACACACACACACACACACACCCGCTGCTTTTCTGTAGTGAATTTCACTGTTTCTCATTTAGCTACTGCCTGTAACTAAGTCTGGAACTAGACCAGCAGAAGCTTAGGCTCCAGATATTTACAACTCCTGGCCTTAGGCACCTACATTCCAGGTCACCATTTTATCAGCCAGCAGATAAGTATATAAACACACAGTCTGCCACCCCTAACATACAACACCTTTTCTAAGTCATCATTAAATAAGATTGCCCAGCATCTGTCACTTACTCTTTCCTTTAAAGAAAGGAAAGAAAGGTGTGTGTGTGTGTGTGTGTGTGTGTGTGTGTGTGTTATGATGTGTATTGAAAGTAAGTATATGAACATGTTGTGAATCTCACAAGATAAAGTGTGTGGTACAAGAGCAGCATGGTGATTCTGTAAGGAAATAAATGTCAGTTAAATGCTCAAGTAGTTACATAGTGAGTGCTCAGGGCACACAAAGCTGGGATTTTGTGAAAATGCAGGTTCTAGTTTAAAAGGCCTGAGTGTGCTCAACGGGCTCTTTGCATGATGCTGGTACTTGGCTATGGATGACTGTATTCAATTATAAGCTGCATAATTTTATTTTTATAAATAGGAAGAAAAATTATCGCTGACTAGATCACTAGATGATGTTACCAGGCAACTGCACATTACACAAGAGGTAATTCAAATTTCATTTTGTCTTTGCAAGTAATCCAAAATTGGTCCTGAATTCTTTCTACAATTAAAACCAAGCCTTTGTGTATCTTCTTTCAAAATAGATTGCTGTTGGATATCCACTCTTTGCACCTCTTCCCCCACAGTTAATTATCTTAAATTGATGCTTTCTTTTAGATATTTAATTCCACCCAAACATTTCTGCCACCCCTAACATACAATACCTTTTCTAAGTCATCATTAAATAAGACACTGCTTAGCATGTATCACTGTCTTTGCTTTAAAGAAATTATTATTCTTTCAAACTGTGTGTATGTGTGTTTTGTGTGTGTGTGTCTGTGTGTGTGTGTGTCTATGTGTGTGTGTGTCTGTGTGTGTGTGTGTAAGCATGTGTGTGCCATGGCATGGAAGTGGAGATCAGAGGACAATTTGTGAGTTTGGTGTTCTCCTCCCACCATGGGTACATGGAGTCAAACTTAGGTCGGCGGGCTTGGCTCTTCTTATCAGCCCTTTCATTTTATTCATCTTACTTGTCTGGCTTAAAATGACTTTTCAGTTCCTAACTCCATTCCCTTCCGTCCTGTGTTAAGACCAGAATTAATCCTTTGGGGACTGGAGAGATGGCTCAGCAGTTGAGAGCACTGGCTGCCCTTCCAGAGGACCTGAGTTCAATTTCCAGTACCCATATGTCAGCTCACAATGTAACTCCAGTTCCAGGAGATCCAGACATATGTGCAGGCAAATCAACAATAGGCATAAAAATAAATTAATCTCTCTCTCTTTTAAAAGAATTAATCCTTTCAATGGGCTTAGCATGGTTTGGACCATACCCACTCCACCTTTGCCCTTCACCTTTGAAATCTAGGGTGAAAGTACTTGATAAGCAACATGGCTGTAGGAAGAAGATACTTGTGTGCAATATGGTTTCCTGGGGGCCATGCTGCTGTGCTTAAGTATAAGAAGTAAACGTAGGAGAGACTTGGTATCCCCAGTCTCTTAATGTCGGATGAGAGGCTCTGGTGCTGAGAGCTAGATGAAGTTAACAGTTTTAAGTTTCACCCGTGGCCAGTGCAGCTCTAGAGCTGTTTCTGATCTCGTCTTGACTTCCTTTGAGTATGTACTAAAGAGCTGAAACTTCCTTTGCAGTATCCTTGTTAAGTCCTTCGTGTTCTAACCTGAGTGTAGCGTATTCAAGAGACTGTCCTAATATGTTGTATTGACCTCTAATATAGACGTTATCAGAAAAACTGCAAGAGTTAGATAAGCTTCGGAGTGAATGGGCCTCGCACACGGCATCACTGACGAGTAAGCACTCTCAGGAGTTAACAGCTGAGAGGGAGAAAGCCTTGCAGGTAAGAGCACTAAAGGCAATTGGAAAATGTCATTTTAAAATCATTCTTAGTTATTCCATTAATTATAAAAATAATACATGTTTGCTTTAAATTTTTCAAACATCTAACCAGTACATAAAATCAAAATTTAAAACTTATTTTTCAGTCTTACTACTAAAAGATTATGTAGCCAGCGTAGGCATTTTTTTCTAATTAGTATTTTTTTTTAAACTTATCTACTTTACATCCTGCTCATTGCCCCCCTCCCACAATCCTTCCCCTTCTCCCTCACATTCTCTTCTGGGCGAGTGGGGGCTTCCTGGATATCCCCCCAACCCTGGCACATCAAGTCTTTTGCATCCTTTCTCACTGAGGCCAGACAAGGCAGCCCAGCTAGAAGAACACAGCCCATAGACAGGCTTTTGGGACAGCCCCCGCTCCAGTTGTTGAGGATCCACATGGAGGGAAACCAAGCAGCTCATCTGTTCCTCTGTGTGGGGAGGTCTACAGTCTAGGCATTTTACTGTGCTCTGTTTCCCGGCCATCAGCCCTCGTGGTTAGCTTGGTGATCGTCCTCCCTTAAGGTCGTCATATTGATGCTTAACTCAGGGCAGATAATTTGATGTAGTTTTGTAGACTTTTCTCTATATGTATATATAAGTGCTATGCAAAAATAATTTGTTTATAAATTTATAGCAAAGTAAATTATGATTATAGATATCCATTTTATTAGCTATATTGATTATAACTTTTTAAAAAACTTAACATAAGGTACTATTCTGTATCAGTTCAAGTACTTTTGTTTTGATGCTACACACTATTATTTGTCATTCTGATACAACTTAGATTGACTTTTTGCCAAACTGGTGGCTTTGAAATTTTGGTTACTGTGAGCCAAACTAAACCATACTGCAGTGAACTTTTTCTTTTCTTTCACAGTTTACATTGTGACACTTCCAGATAAAAGTTTTTCAATACATACTTGTCACCTAAAAAGATTATGTTACATGGGAATCCCAAAGGTTCTTGTTTCCCTGTGTTCCTATTAATCATCTTCATATTTGCCACCTCACAGGCACTAAGGGGATTCTTGCATCCGTTCCTCTAAGAGCTTTTCATGAAGCTAAGCCTCTTCTCACAGGACATTTTACCATTCTTTATCTCTTCTATGAATTACCTTTACTCCACTTGCTGTTTTGTAGAGATGTCATTCTTACCTTCTATTTTATAGCTTTAAAAATAAATTTTAATGCACTTAATACTAGCTAGTTATTTTCTCTTAAGGGTATAACTAGATTTTTGTTTGTGTGTGTTTGTGTTTGAGACGGGTTTCTCTGTGTAGCAACCTCGTCTGTCCTGGAGCTTACTCTGTAGATCAGGCTGGCCTCAAACTCACAGAGAGCTGCCTGCCTCAGCCTCCTGAGTGCTGGGATTAAAGACATAATGCCACCCCCAAACCCCAGCATAACTAGGTTTTAAAAATGATTATAACTTTAAAATTAAATTAAAATTTAAAATATTGTATCACCTTTTAAGGCTTCCTTATGTGCCTTCCAGTCTGTGTGCTACTCTTACGGGGTGTCTCAGTGGGGGTCTCTATGCTGTGAAGAGGCACCATGACCATGGCAACTCTTATAATGGAAAGCCTTTAACTGAGACTGGCTTACAGTTCAACAGGATTAGTTTAGTTTATTATCAGCATGGTAGCATGAAGAAAGACATGGTGCTGGAGAGGTACTGAGAGTTCTACATCTGGATTCATGGGCAGCAGCAAGAGAGACTGAACCAGTGATGCATTTCCACCAGAAAGGCCACACCTACTCCATAAGGCCACACCTCCTAATCCTTTCAAATACTGCTACTCTTTATGAGCCTGTGGAGGACATTTTCACTCAGACTGCCGCATGAGGTGTTCAACATAAGTTGACTCAAAGAGCATGTCTCTGTATTAGTTCCTTCCCTTAACAGCTTTGGGATTCAATTATATGGTTTCCTATTTTTATTGTACAGTGTTTTATTATATATCTAGACTGTGACTCATTTGTTTTCCTATTGACTGGCCTTTGAATTATTTGTGATATTTTGTTTTTACATATTAAACTGATATGATCTACCTACTCCACTTTTTGTGTGTGTATGTGTACACTCCCTGTTCTTGGGCACAATTTAGGTTCTAATGTAGGCTTTTGTTTAGCTTTAGCAGGAACTGCCTGTTTTCCAGTGGAGGTTTATACTGCCACTTTGAGTTTATAATACTACCACATAATAATGAGCATTTTTTGTATGCATACTGACCAATGTGATTATGTAATACCCATTCAACATGCTCATTGTTAAATTATCCCTATTACTATTTTCTCTAAATTTTTAGGAATTATTTGTATATTCTAAGCATCATTTTTTGTCAGGTACGGGAGTCACTTAGTGTCTACAAGGAAATAATTGCAGAGATTCTTTCAGTATACTGAAGTATACAGAGGCTCAAATGTCCCTTATTCAAAGTGGCATACTATTTACATATAATCTGTGCACATCTATACTTTGGACCATCTCTAGATTATTTACAATGTCTAATACAATATATATGTGATGCAAACAGTTGTTGTACAGTGTTGTTTAGGGAATAATGGCAGAAAAATCTGTATATCACAATACAGATAAAACTATGTGGTACAAGAATGAACCACTGGCTGCTGGGTGGTGGTGGAGCATGCCTTTAATCCCAGCACTTGGGAGGCAGAGGCAGGCGGATTTCTGAGTTCGAGGCCAGCCTGGTCTACAGAGTGAGTTCCAGGACAGCCAGGGCTACACAGAGAAACCCTGTCTTGAAAAACCAAAAAAAAAAAAAAAAAAAAGAATGAACCACTGGGTAAATGACACTCCAACAATGAGTTCTGAGTGTTTGAGGTCTATGGCAGAGGGCTACAGTAGGGTGTTGCTGCATACTCCCCCTCCTCCCTTGAGACAGGGTTTCTGTGTAACCCTGGCCGTCCTGGAACTCAGATTCCTGTCCTTTACCTTCTGAGTGCTGGGATTAAAGGAGTTCATCCCCATACCTGGCTCCCTCCTTTTTTTTTTTATCTATACTTTTAATAAACAATATTTGTAACTGGGGATTTTATATTTTTACTCCTTACAAGCAAGACTATCTGCTTCTCTGCCTCCACCACTCTGGTTACACTCTTTGTTTAAGACAGAGTCTTGTGTAGCTCAGGCTGGCCTCAATCTTGCTGTGTAGCAGAAAATGACTTTGAAGTCCTGATCCTTGGGTTTTTCACCTCCTCAGTGTTGGAAATTACCTTTGTTTACCTAACTCGCTCTTTCATGAAATCTGTAATTGATACAGACTTTTTCTAAGCAGGGAAATCTGAAAATGATGAAGAAATGATGTTTTGCTTTTTCTGATCTTTATTTATAGTTCTGTTCTTTCTTCTTTGACATACTGTTCTATAATAGACACAAGTTCAGTACCAACAGCAGCATGAACAACAGAAAAAGGATCTGGAAGCCCTCCATCAACGAAATATCCACCAGCTACAGAGCAGATTGTCTGAGTTAGAGGCAGCTAATAAGGAGCTTACCGAGAGGAAGTATAAAGGAGACTCCACTGTCAGAGAACTGAAAGCAAAGCTTGCTGGTGTGGAAGAGGTATGAGGTGCTGGCTGCTGTGGCTGGGTCACTTGGTTTTACTGTAGTTACTGTGTTGTTAAGTGGGTGTTATTCCTTGGGTGCTCTGCGCAAAACTTTTGGCACTACCATGATCATCTCACTGTAAAGAAAACAGGGATTAGCAAATGAGATGACGGAGCTAATTCAGGACAGAATGGGGACAGACTGGCATTTTAGTTTGGAGTTGAAATATTCACAGGAGCAGCCCTCAGATTCTTTCAGTTCCTTTTAATATTACTGCAGTGTCCGTGTCTCACAGGGTCAGTGTTGACAAGTTTAGTCTAGCAGCTCTGTGAAGTGGAATGACCAGTGAGAATACTACTGCTAGACGGTACAGTAGCAGTTGCTTACTGGGCATGTGCTAAGTAATGACAGACACTGTGGAAGTGATTTCAGAAATTAACCCCCTATTTAGGTGCCACTCGTAACCTCATTGTAGACGTACTGAGGCTGCAGCACAGAGTTCTGTTGTTATTTGCTTTCTACAGCCAGCCAGGGAAGAGAGGATTGTAACCCATCTGTTATTTGCCTCTTTCTTTCAAGCACACAGAAATGTTTGGTTTGCACTGCTGGGATTTAACCCAGGGCCTTCTGTGTACTTGGCATGTGCTCTGCAGTGAGCTTCAAACCTTGCACATCAGAGAAATGGAAACAGTGTTGGTGTTTGCCGCAGCACATTTGTGAGTGCCTTGGCACTAAGGAGAGTCTCTTTTAGTAGAAGTTATTTTCAGATTTATTTTTATGTGTTTTGAGATAGGGTTTTCTGTGTCCCCAAGACTGGCTTCAGACTCCTGATCTCAAGCCAGCTTTACCTTACTTAATGGCTGGATTAGAGGCGTGCACCACTGTTTCTGATTTTTGTTTGTTTGCTTTGTTTTTTGAGGTAGAGTTTCTGTGTATCCCTGGAAGTCCTGGAACTCTGTAGACCAGGCTAGCTTTGAACTTAGAGATCTGCTTGCCTGTAACTCCTGAGTTATGTGGTTAAGGGTATGTGGCACCATGCTTAGCTGGCTTCTAGTTGTTAAAGTCTTTCTATTAAACAGATATTTGTTAGCAGAGATCTCAATGCTCTATTTCATTATAGTGTGTAGAAGCCAAAGCTCCACTCATTTTATGTGTAGATCCTTGGAACATTCTGCATCAACAATAGATGTGTATGTGGATTTACATCCTATAGCCTTCCTGTAATAGTGCAGCATTTCTGACTTCACACTTGGTGCCGTGGTAAGCCAATGGCTTTATTTTAATGCTATATGATTTCTTCTGTCTAAATCCCCAAACTAGTCAGTGTGTTAACAATCTTATGTTGTTGTTTGTTTTTGTTTTTGGGGGGGTTGGTTTTGGTTTTTCAAGTGAGGGTTTTCTGTGTAGCCCTGGTTGCCCTGGAACTTTGTGGATAAGACTGGCTTCAAGCTCAAGAGATTTGCCTGTCTCTACCTCCTGAGTGCTGGGATTAAAGGCGTGCACCACTACCACCTGGCAATTATGTCAGTTTTTTTTTCCACAATACAAAAATAAACAATTTAACTTTATTAAGTCATGACTTCAACCCATATACTGATTTGTTTTTTAAAAAAATATCAGTTTAGAATATTCTTGAAAGTGAGTATGTACAATAAATAGAAATGGCCTGTGCAGTGCTGGAGACATGTTAACTACTTACTTATCTGTCGCCTACATTAGCAGACAAAATTCTGACACACCGTCAGCTTGTCAAAGTGCAAAGCACCTGGGAGGAAGTTTCAAATGTCTAGAAAAGTAGCTCAGAGCTCTGAACCACTCACCAAATAAAACAAAAAATGAAAAACAAAAACAAAAACAAAAACCCCACTCAGTACACTTGGGAAGCAACTTCCCAACAACACTGACTTATCTACTGCTACCTGTAAGAACAATTTAAAATACCCAAAGAGTTAAGACTTCATTAGCAGTACTTTAAATCAAAGTTTTAATGTTAAATATATGGTTACTCAAATACCCTAAGCCTTATGGCATGCCCAATAACAATAAGTTACAAATACTCTGAACCTAATAACTTAAACATGACATGGTAAATATAACACACATTGTATCTCAGCTAGCCTTTCATGTAAGGTGAGAATTAAAAGACTTGTTCATCTGTGTACTCAAATGAGGAATGTGGTATCCTAGCAACAGTGATGACATCCGTTATTACAAAGGCAGAAGGAGCCTGGAAATGTACATGCTACTTAGAGTTACACTTGATTGAAGAAATAATTCTATGTACAAGTGGGTCCGTATTCAATGTGCAAATTTTCAATGGAGCAGGCTTAGAATCAAGGCAAGTTTAACAAATGCTTTCTGACTTCTCAGTGGATGGCGAAAGGACTTCCTAAAAGTGAACAAAGTAGTCAAGTGTAGGTGGAGGCAGCTCTTATTTTCCTCTTAGGTGTGGTGAATTTCATGAAGCATTAATTCCCGAGGAATGTTTGTCTCTGGACCATAGAGTTTACATGCTCTTCTTTCAAAGGCCGCTACCATTTGTCTCACGACTTCATTGAAGAACAATGTAGCAAGCTGAGAGTGCAGAAGGGAGTGGAATTCAAAAGAAATTGAAAAACCCAAGGTACAAGTTCTTAGAGAGCCAGGAAGACCTGGGCTAAAACGCCAAATAGTCTCCAAATGATTGAAAAGTTTCCCATCAGTACAGATGCCTTTACCAAATGTGGTTTTACCAAGGTTACTATTGATGTGTATCACTCGAAAACAGGTGGAAACCCAATTTGTAATCGGGTTTTACAATATCCAGATCTCCTTGATATTATATCTGATTTTTTTACACCAAGGAACGAAATGCTTATAATCCTCCATTCCTGATACAACAGCATTCATTTCTTGCATTGAGTACTCTATAATTCTCTCTGAATACTCCTCCCGTTATTTCCTAATGGCGCAGTGATTCTGAAGAAGGTTCTTGCACAGATCTCTTTTTTGGCAAAACTGAGGCACATGGTGGAAGGGTTCTGTTCATCAGTATACCACAGAGAGCTAAGTATCTGACGTTCTGCGCAGACCCCCACTCCGGGGCTTCAGTCACGGTGGTGGACTTCGGACAGCACCCTGATGCCACCCTTGCCAAGGCCCTCTGACTGATCCGAGCTGCATTGATCATCTTTGTCGGCAATTATGTTTTTATAGAACTTCATTGTGTTAGTTATCTTTGTACCAGTAACAAAATAGTATGTAAACAACTTAAGGGAGGAGGCATTGATTTTTGCTCACCATTTCAGAAGCTTCATTCTGGCTGTACGTAGAATTCGATGCAATGTACTTGGGGCATGTAGTAAAGGGGGCTATTCATTTCACAGTGGACAGGAAGTGGTTGGGGGAAACTGTGACAACACTGGGACATGCCATGATACATCTCTTGAGAACATGTTCCCTGTGACTTAACTTCCTTTGCCAAGCGCCACTTTCATATTTCCACAACCTCCCAATACAGTGCCTCCATCTGGAGATCCAACATGTGGAGACATTTCCTTTTTAAGCTGAAACTCTCTTCCAAGATTTGCAGAGTACCTATGGAGAATAACTTGTGCCTGAGGAACTTTGCTTTCTCACTGTGGCATTAGTGTCCTGAAGTAATTATCATTTATTGGATATTGACTGTCTACAGTCAGTATGTTAGCAGTTTAATGAGGATTTTTGAAGTATTTGGGGGGATTTTTATGTTAGATCACAGGCCTTTTTCTACCAGATATCAGGCCACGAATCTCTGTAACTCTCTGTGGGACAGAATAGATAAGGCTGTTAAGCTGTGGTCTTGCAGCCCTTCCCACTGAAGAGCTTTGAGATAAGTTCATGGTCCTCCCTAGTGCCAGCTTTCATACCCCTTGGCACATAGGCCAGGCTACATGTAACACATGGTATGAAGTTTGCTCACCCCTTGAAACCACTAAGACAGAACTTGCTTTGTTCTTAGAACTAAAGGGTCTCTCTCCATCAAGGTCCCTATCATGCTATACCCGGCAGTTATCTCTTCCCAGTCTAGTGCTCTTGGGACTTCTATGCCTGCTCTCTCTCTTCAAGACCCTGTCTCCCAATAAAGCAAGGGTGATCTCATGTCAGTTCCTTCCCAGGAACCTGCATTAAAGATTATTTCAAATGAGTGCACACACGTCAAGATAACTTTATAAACCAGGACACTGAAAGAAGTAAGACTTCCACAGTTGCCAGTACACATATTCTGATTTGAAGTCAAGTCTGTCTGAAACCAAAGTTTGCTCTGACAACCATTGTTGGGCACTATAAAGTTATCTTAAATATTTTTTGTTCAAACAATTCCCTAGGTATTACTTACTGGATTTAGATTAGTTACAGTTGGGTTGCTATTGAGAAGTGATTTATTCTAGATTGTTTTAAGATCTATTTTTAGTTAACAGTTATTTGCTTCTTTTCCTTGCTTTAAATATAAACCAAAGAACAATTCAGAAATGTTAACATATGTATTGACATATGTTAACATTCATTTATTGTTAACATATTTATTTATTGTTAACATATTTATTTATTATTATATATAGAAAATAATTTTAATGTAAGAGATGGCCCTGTGGTTAAGAGCAGTTGTTGCTTTCACTGAGGCCCCAGGTTCTATTCCAGCACCCACATGGTGGCTCACAATCATCCATAACCACAGATCCAGTTTACCACCCTCTTCTCACTTAAGCACCAGGAATGAATGTGCTGCACATACACATGCAGGAAAGTCTCATACACATAAAATAAAAATAAATCTTACAGAAAAATTACACAGTATCAGCTCTCAGTCCAAAAAATCCATACCTATAGTCAACCAGAAAATACTAATTCTACAACCATAACTTCTACACTTGGCTATTCTTAGATTCAGTTAGTAAGTTATAAAATTCTTGTTATACATTTTAAGAAGTTATAGTATTTTTTTTTTATAAATCAGAATTGGTTTGTCTTCTCCTTGGCATATTTCAGTTAATAGTATGTTTTACAGTTGTATGCAAATCTATAACTTACACATATCACTGGAGAGATTTTTCATGGCTTTTATAAAATATACTAGAACCTCAAAATTAATAAAAACTGTTTTTTGGATTGAGATAAAAGATTTATGTAGTTCAGGCTAATCCCAGGGCTATAATGATTTTGCCCCAGCCCCTGAGCGCTGTGAAGAGAGACCCCACTGGCCTATCCTTGAAGACATTTTTGGCTTTTAAGGCATCTTAGTTTTTAAAAAAGTTTTTTTTTTTAAGGTAATGAGGTTTCATTTTGCTTTGTTTCTAAATTTTATTTATTTTTTATTTATTATTTTTTATCTGTATGGATGTTTTGTCTATATGTGTATGTCTTTATACCATGTGAGTACCTCATATTTATGGAAGCCAGAAGACAATGTTAGGTTTCCTGAATCTCAGTTACAGACTGGTGTGAGCTGCCATGTGGGTCTCAGGATTGAACTTCATCCTCTGGAAGGGGAGTTGGGGCTTTTATCCAGTGAATCATCTTTCTGGCCCCAAGACACCTTAGTTTTGCATAACTGGCTAATTTTCCCTTTATATGATGCATAATAATTCCTTCTCCCAACCAACCTCTAGGAGCTGCAGCGGGCCAAGCAAGAGGTCCTTTCTCTGAGAAGAGAGAATTGTACTCTGGATACTGAATGCCACGAGAAAGAAAAGCATATTAACCAGCTACAAACAAAAGTGGCCGTTTTAGAACAGGAGATCAAAGATAAAGACCAGCTTGTTCTGAGAACAAAAGAAGCATTCGATACCATCCAAGAGCAAAAGGTCTTTTGTAAAAGTTTAAAAATAAATAGATTGCATTTCCTCCATGGACTGTGATGCTTCCCATGAACACACACAGTGTCTTACTTGTCTTCTGTTGTTCCTGGCAGGTAGCCTTAGAAGAGAATGGTGAGAAAAATCAGATACAACTGGGAAAACTTGAAGCTACAATAAAATCTTTATCAGCAGAACTTCTAAAGGTTTGCTTTGAAATGTTTAGCCAAATATTAATATTTCATTTGGTTACATAAATATTCATATGAGGCTTTCTCATAGGCAAATGAGATTATCAAGAAGTTACAAGGAGATCTTAAAACTCTGATGGGTAAATTGAAACTGAAGAATACAGTTACTATACAGCAAGAAAAACTACTGGCTGAGAAAGAAGAAATGCTACAAAAGGAGCGAAAGGAATCGCAGGATGCTGGGCAGTCTCTTCGAGCCAAGGAGCAAGAGGTGGTCACTGCCCCTGCTTCTGTGCTAGGACTGCTTTGTGTAGTTAGTGAGCCTCCCCACGTAGACGGGAAAGCTTGAGCTTGGTTGTGTGAAGACAGTTGCTTTGTCTTTTTTTTCCCCCCTTAAACAAATCCCCACTAGATTAGGTAGATGTTAATAACCCATTCTAGTTGAAAAGTTAGTCATCAGTACTCCAATGCCTTGGTTCTCATATGTGCAGAATGGGTAGGTATGTACACTTGTAATCAACTATTTCATTATATAGTTGAATTGACTTCTTCTTTCTCACTTAGCTGTAGTAATAATCAGACATTGACTTAATAGTACACATTGCATTAGTCTAACCTTTACTTTGACTAACTATGATATTGATATTGCAGGTATGCAGACTACAAGAACAATTAGAAACTACAGTTCAGAAACTCGAAGAAAGTAAACAACTTTTGAAAAATAATGAAAAATGTAAGTAATGTTATATTTTTCTGTAAAGAAGTTTTATTAATTTGAAATTTTTATTCAAATTAGTCAAATGCAGGTAAGTGAAAATATTGTTACATAAATAGTTTCTGTTTTTTTTTTTTTTTTTTTGGTTTGGTTTTTCGAGACAGGGTTTCCCTGTGTAGCCCTGGCTGTCCTGGAACTCACTCTGTAGACCAGGCTAGCCTTGAACTCTCGAACTCAGAAATCCGCCTGCCTCTGCCTCCCAAGTGCTGGGATTAAAGACGTGCGCCACCACCGCCTGGCTTAATTTCTGTTTTCAATTTGCCTTTTTTTTTGTTGCTATTTTGTTTGAGTCAAGGCCTCCATGTGTAGCTTTGACTGCTTCTTGTCTCCTGAGTACTGGAATTAAAGGCATGCAACACCATGCCTGGCAAGATTAAACTTTAATTGAACCTTTTCTCATTCCCAAGACTTCAAATTGTGAATTTTATGTGTCTGAAAGATACTATTTAGAAGCAAAACATGTCCAAGATTTTGAGTTGCAGAATTAAGTCCTTGGGAGAGAATAGAATAAGAAGTCCCATGTAGCTCTTGATAAAGTAAGCCTCTTTACTTAGAAACATGGATTCAAGCTTACATTGTCTGACCATGTATAAAGCAGCTATAGAAACTGAACACTAGCCGGGCAGTGGTGGCGCATGCCTTTAGTCCCAGCATTTGGGAGGCAGAGGCAGGCGGATTTCTGAGTTTGAGGCCAGCCTGGTCTACAGAGTGAGTTCCAGGACAGCCAGGATTCTACACAGAGAAACCTTGTCTTGAAAAACAAAAACAAAAAAAAAAAAAAAAAGAAAGAAAGAAAGAATGAAAAGAAAAAGAAACTGAACACTACAGGAAACTACTTATAGCTGCTATAATCTTGCACACTTGTGATCTGAGCCTTTGAGCAACTGAGGCAGAAACACCATTAATTGTGGGCCTGCCTGGGCTACATTGAGACCTGTCTAGAAAAAAAAGGAGGGGAGGGAGAAAGTACTTATAGTAAATTATGAAATGATTTTGCTTTTTATTCCCCTATTTAAGTAATCACATGGCTAAACAAAGAGCTAAATGAAAATCAGCTGGTAAGGAAGCAAGACACACTGGGAACCTCCGCCACCCCACCCGCACATTCTACGAGCAACACCATCAGAAGCGGGCTTTCTCCCAACCTGAATGTGGTAAGCCTGAGTCGGGAGGGCTGCTCCTCAAGGCCCACAGTTACTCAGTGGGGGTGGTATATACTGCCCTGACTGCAGCTTAGACATACATGCTCTTAGTGAGGAGGCTGTGTTTCAGAGCAGTCTTCATGCCTTTACATGATTGTGAGTATATGAATGTGTGTATAGTCTCATATGTGTGCAATTATAAAGTGTGAAGGGCAGACTTTATAAGACTTTTCTTTAGAAATAATTACTGAAAGATAAAATACACATGAATACACACAGAGAGAAAAGATTGTTTTGAAGATTTCAAGCAACGAAAATTCAAGATTCAGACTCTTAAGTTTGGAACTACTATAAAGAAAAGCCTATGCTGATTCGATCGCAAACTAAAGAGTTGGGTAGCTTTATTAACATGGGTTTGTTGGTTCTCAAGTCTGAGTGAGCATCATGAGACAGACATTTCTAGCTTTCCCCCAAGGAATGGGGGAGAAGAAAGGCAGCTCTTTAGAGCCGGAGGCGGCCTGCCACTGTGGAATGGCAAGTCTGAGAGGGCTGTGCACTTGGTTATTAGAAGCTAAAGACCTCGGCTCTCCTCCTGACCATAGCAATTACACAGACTGTCATCATCATCAGATGTGGTCTCCTGATGAATCAGCATGAATACAAGAGCACTCTTCAGTCATAGCTGAACACAGAGCTTTGCTAGGCTACCAGACAGCTTCCTGTCCTGGCTGATGCTTGGTGCTGTAGTTTCTCTAACGAAGCATTTTTTCAACTTGTCTGTTTACAGACACTAGTTAGTCCTGTTTTTAACCCAATCTGATGAAATTATTTTCTCTCTGAATGGACTGTGGATGACTTCTCTCTCCCTCTTCCTCATATCTTCTCTGTAAGGCTGGATAATCCAAGGGCCTCGCTAGTCTTTGTTTTAGCCCCATCATTGGCAAGCAAGCCCAGTAGCTTCTTTGACCCATACTTGCAAAGCTAGTCTGGAAGGCCCTCTAGGTGGACCAAAGAGATCCCAGCCTTTGGTTATTAAAAAGCAGAATTTTGTGGTGTCTTGCTAGAGAAAATTGGCCTCTGAGATATTACTCTTAACTAGTAATTAGGCCAGCAAATACTTCAGATTATAAATTAGAAATATTTCTCATCTTTTTTATATTTTGCCTTTTAGGTTGATAGACTAAATTACCCAAGCTGTGGAATTGGCTATCCTGTCTCCTCTGCGTTCGCATTCCAGAATGCTTTTCCTCATGTAGTAGCTGCCAAAACCACCAGCCATCCAGCTTCTGGACCAAAGGTAGCCAAGTGCTAGATAGATAATGTGGTAGATGAATGCTGACTATGTAGCCTGTGCCTAAAGGAAGTGAGTGCCCCAGGTGTCTGCAGAACCCCACAGTCCGTACAGCATCAGTATGCGGCATCTTGGCATGGTCCTACTCACCTCGGCACTCGTACTCAGTTTTACTAAGTCCGAAAGCTGAAGAGAGATTGCTAACATCATCCTACCAGAGTCCTTTCTTATTCATGTTTGTAGGGCAGGCTTAGAGCCAGCGAATTCTAAAGTGGAATTTTGCCCACACTTCTCAAGTGGTACATGAGAAGCAGGCCTCTCACACTTGATTTACTAGCAGATATTTTTATTGTATTCAGTTTATGTCTTGATCATCACTATTACAATGAATATTTTCATGCCTAGTTCCATAGTCTTAAATATATGGGCAAAATGGGCAGTCTCTGTTGTTTGTTTTGTTGTTTGGAGATGGGTCTTACTATGTTGTCCTGGGTGGCCGTCTTCCTGCCTCTGCTCCCGAGTAGCTAGAATTAGAAGGAAGTGACACTGTCTTCAGGCTTCTGAGTCCAACTCTTAAATTACATGTTATTGTCTGTGTGTTGCTCTTTCCTCTGTATGTACATGTGTGCGTGTATGTGTGTGTGTGTGTGTGTGTGTGTGTGTGTGTGTGTGTGACGGGGTATTCAGAAGACAATTAGAAATCAGTTCTCTCCATCTACTATTTAGGTTCCAGTGGTTGAGGTCAGGTCCTCAGGCTTGGCCACAGGTGGCTTTATCCAATGAGCTGTCTCACTGCCACATGAGCACACCCCCCTACCCCCGCCATGTTTGTTTAATTCTCAGAAGCTCTTGTTTTATGATCTTTGCATTTTCTGTTTTAAAGATTTGTTTTTATTCATGTGTGCATATTTGTGTATGTGTCACATGTGTGCCAGTGTCTGTGGAGGCCGGAAGACGGTACCCTATCCCTAGAGTTGGAGTTACATGTGGTTGTAACTAACACGGATGCTGGGAAACGTGTGCTGGACCTTTGCAACAACTCAAGTGCTAGTAACTGCTGAGCCATTTTCTCCAGCCCCTCCATACTTTTTTAACCATGAACCCTCAAGAGTAAAAACAACGGAAAAAAAGCATAAAGTTAAATATTTTACTAAAGGTATCTTTCTTTGTGAATTCTATCCTATCCTATCCTATCCTATCCTATCCTAAACTATATTATTTCCAGTTTACTAAGAAAACAGGAAGGCGATAACATGCAAGCCACGGAACCAGAGGTTGAAGCAGAAAGCTCAAAGCCAGCTTGGGCTGGGCATTGTGTTCTCCGTCTTTAGCCCCTGTAATCAGGAAGCAGAGGCTGGCAGATCTCTTTGAATTTGAAGCCAGCCTGTTCTACATATCAAGGTCCAGACAGCTGGGGCTACATAGGGCTTCTATTAGAAAAGAAGAGGTGGGGGGGGGGGGGCAGGGAAGAGAAGAAAGAAGGAGGAAGAGGAAAGAGGAGGAGAAAACTTACTGTATACTACCAGCAGTTTGTTACTTAAGATCTGCATCCTTCCAAGACTGAATCCTCAATTGTAACCACCGTAGTCGGTGAATGGAACTACCTCATTGTAGTTTTAACTTTCATTTCCCTAAAACTTACAGAGAGCTAGGTGTGGTGGTGCAGGCCTTTAATCCCAGCACTTGGGAGGCAAAAGTAGGCTGATTGATATGAGTCAGGGCCAGATCTGGTCTACACAGTAAGTTCCAGTACACCTAGGGTTACCTAGAGAACATGTCTCAAAAAAATAAAATAGGGGCTGGAGAGATGGCTCAGTGGTTAAGAGCACCGACTGCTCTTCCAGAGGTCCTGAGTTCAATTCCCAGCAACCTCATGGTGGCTCACAACTATCTGTGATGGGATCTGATGCCCTCTTCTGGTGTGTCTCAAGAGAGCGATGGTGTACTCATATACATAAAATAAATCTTTAAAAATAAAATAAAATGAAAGTTACTGAGATTAACTCTTCTCATGTTCTCTATTGCCCTCAGTATATCTGTTTCATGAAGTACTTTTTTCAATGAAAAAAAAAAAAAAACAAAAAAACTGCCTAGTGGGAGTTGGCTCTCTCCACTGTATAAATTTTGGGGATTGAGTTCAGGTTATCAGGCTAAGGAGCAGGCTTCCCAATCCGCTGAGTCATCTTACCAGCCGGTTCCAAAATATAATAAACAGTTTCTTATTGGGATAATTCCCTACATATCCTGGACTATGTTCCTCATCGGAAGAATGATTTGGAAATGTTTTCTGTCAGTTTGTATCTCTTTTTCTTCTCATTTATTTCCCCTCATTTCTGTTTTATTTTAGGACGGAGTCTTACTATGTAGCCCAGGCTATCCTTGACTTCATGTTCCTCACGCCTCAGTCTGCCTAAGCACTGGGATTGCAGGGGTGAGCCACTGTGCCAGTTGGCTCTTCTTTATATTGTAGATGGCCTTTTGGATAATGAAACTTTAAAATTAAAAAAAATCTTTTGATGTATTGATGTTAAGTGTTTGGATGTTTTCCCTGCTGAGCACACACTTTGCTACTAAGCTCTATGTCCGAGCCTTTTTCCTTGATGTTTTTAGGTAGGGTCTGTCTCTGCTCACACTGGCTTGAAATCTCTTAGCACCAGTTCTCCACACATCAGCCCCTCCCACGCCGTTAGCCCCTTCTACACGGCTGCGCCAGCTGAGCTTACCGATCTCTCTGTTGGCTTCCTCCTACTGTTGAACCTAGCCATTGACTATTTTCTTTTATCAGTTCTTTTTTTTCAAATTTATTTTTTTATTGAACATTTTATTTACATTTCAGATGGTCTCCCCTTACTCCATTCCCTCCCCCCCCACCCAGGAACCCCTTAGTTCATCCCCCCTCCTACTTCCATGAGGATGTGCCCCCACCCCACTCCCACCTCCCCACCCTCTAATTCCCCACACTCGGCGTCCAGCCTTCATGAGGTCAAGGATCTCTTCTCCCACCTATGCCCAGCAGGGCCCTCCACCCTTACATATACAGCTGGAGTCATGGGTCCCTCCCTATGTGCTCACAGCCTGGTGGCTTAGACCCTGGGGGCTCTGGTTGGTTGGTATTGTTGCTCTCCTCATGGGGCCGAAAACCCTTTCAGCTCCTACAGTCTTCACTCTGACTCCTCCACTGGGAACCCCATGATCAGTTCAAAGGTTAGCTGTGAGCATCTGCCTCTGAATATGTCAGACTCTTGCATACCTCTGAGGAGACATGTATATCAGGCTCTTATCAGCATGCACTTCCTGACTTCCACATCAGCATCTATCTTTGGTGATTGCACAAGGGATAGATACCCAGGTGGAATGGTCTCCAGACAGCCCCTCCTTCAGTTTCTGTCCCATACTTTGTTTCCATATTTGCTCCCTTGAGTATTTTGTTATTCCTTCTAAGAAGGACCAAATCACCCCCACTTGGTCTTCCTTCTTTATGAGCTTCATGTGGTCTGTGAGTTGAATCTTGGGTATTTCAAGGTTCTGGGCTAATATCCAAAATTATCAGTGAGTGAATACCATGTGTGTTCTTTTGTGATTGGCTTACCTCACTCAGGATGATATTTTCTAGTTCCATCCATTTGTCTAGGAATTTCTCGAATTCATTGTTTTTAATAGCCGAATATTCCATTGTGTAAATGTACCACATTGTTTTGAATCCATCCCTCAGTTGAAGGACATCTGGGTTCTTTCCAGCTCCTGGCTATTATAAATAAGGCTGCTATGAACATAGTGGAGCATATGTCCTTGTTATATGTTGGAGCATCTTCTGGGTATATGCCCAGGAGTGATATAGCTGGGTCCTCAGGTAATGCTATGTCCAATTTTCTGAAGAACTGCCAGACTGATTTCAAGAGTGGTTGCACCATCTTGCAATCCCACCAACAATGGAGGAGTGTTCCTCTTTCTCCACATCCTTGCCAGCATTTGCTATCACCTGAGTTTTTGATCTTAGCCATTCTGACTGGTGTGAGGTGGAATCTCAGGGTTGTTTTGATTTGCATTTCCCTGATGACTAAGGATGCTGAACATTTCTTTAGGTGCTTCTTGGCCATTTGAGTTTCCTCAGTTGAGAATTCTTTGTTTAGCTTTGTACCCCATTTTTTTAGTAGGGTTATTTGGTTGTCTGGAGTCTAATTTCTTGAGTTCTTTGTATATATTGGGTATTAGCCCTCTATCAGATGTGGGATTGGTAAAGATCTTTTTTCTTTTTTCAGTTTTTTTTCATTTTTCAGTTCTAAAATTCTGTTTCCATTCCTTTTTTTTTTTTTTTTCCTCTTCCTTTGGTGCTAAATCTGGAGCCCTGTATAAGCCAGGGAGGTGATTCACTTTGTGATCAACTGCAAAGTTCATATGTCCTCTAGCCCGTTTTTTTTTTTTTTTTTTAAACATTTGTTTTATGAGTGTTTGTTCTGCTTAAAGCAGTTATAATGGCTGATTTAAAGCATTTTCCTGCACTCTGATGTTTGTTATCCTATCTTTTGTGTTCTCTCTTCAGTAAATTTGCTTAGATTTTCCTGGTTCTTTGTTAAGTAGTTTTGGATTATATTCTGGATAGTTTATTGTGAGACTCCAGAGTCTGTTCCAATTGTAAAGAAGATAATTTTTAAAAGATACTTACTTGGTTGCAGTTTCAAGGTCTGATTTGTCTCTGTAGACTGTTTTCAGTGTCGGCTGTTTTTATAGGAATTGCTTTGCTATTTCTATCATCCCAAATGTGCAACATCCAGTGACTATATTGACCTGTGAGCAGAACCCCTGTAGTTAGTTTCCAAAGTCTTTGGCTCACTGGTTGGAGTCAGATTGTACATGTGTAGCATATAAGGTTTTTTTTGTTCTGTGTATTATTTGGTGCTGAGAATCACAGTTCGTTTTTTAAGTGTGCTGGGCCTACATGGGACCACTGTGATTTCATTGTGTGTGATCGGAAAGTTTAGCCTGGTCCTATTTGCGCCCAGTACTTGGCATCTTTTTCTTGTCCTTGGTTTGGGGGAAGTGTTACTTTCAAAAATGAGAGAAAATAAGAGATACTTGTATTTACCTTATTTTGTTTAAGGTGATGTCTTCAATTTCTGTCAATTTTGCTGTAAAAAATCAGTCTCCCCCTCCCCCTTGTGTGTGTGTGTCTTATCACACACACATTTTCTTTTTCTTTTTTTTTTTTTTTTTTTGGTTTTTTGAGACAGGGTTTCTCTGTGTAGCCCTGGCTGTCCTGGAACTCACTCTGTAGACCAGGCTGGCCTCGAACTCAGAAATCTGCCTGCCTCTGCCTCCCAAGTGCTGGGATTAAAGGCGTGCGCCACCACTGCCCGGCATGTTTGGGATCTTAATCTCCCGTCAGATGTTAACAGGCACCTAAACGGACTGTCTTGGCCGGGATGAACTGTGGTGCAGTGAGTGTTTGTGTGCTTTCTCTCTCTTCTGTACTCTTGCTTTGATTCCTTTCTGTGTACACCCAAGAAGGAAACAGATTCATAGTAATTCCATGTGTACCGTTTTGAAAACATCTGTATTGGTCTTCACAGCCACTATGATTACTTACATCCATACCAACAGGGTATGAAGTCCTTATTTGTAAAATCCTCACCAACATTTGTTAATGTGTTTTTATTTTTATTTTGATAATTGCCATTCTACCTGGGGCAAAAAGTTACTTCACTGTAATTTTGGTTTCTATTTCTTGATCCTTCCAGCACATGGGATGTCAGCATGTGCTGCCAGGCCAACTACACCTCGGGTGGTTTCTGTCCTATAACTGACCTAAATGCATTAGCATTCACATCCGAGTGACTGTTAAGAGGATCATGTGTATTCTTTACCTTGTTACTTGTATCATGGAAGCTGTCTTGGTGAGGGGAGGGAAGGGGAGGTTCTGAAGCCTCCAAAAAGTGCTCGTGCTGTAAATATAGGCAAAATCTTTATATTATCTAGATTTATCAAGAAGCAAAACCTAACCACTCAGGTGAGCGTGGAACTGCCTCAGTTCTGAGTTCATGAGCCGTGTTCTCCCCACAGGTTCAGTTTAACTTGCAGCTTACAAAACCAAGCACATCCATGGATGGGCCAGGAGCAGCTGTTAACAGGGCTTGTTCAACTGATAAGGAAAAGTAAGTACTCAAGGGACATGCAGCTTCTTCTTCTCTTTGAAAGTCAGTTCTTTTAAAAAAGATTTCTTTATTTTTAAGTGTATGAGTGTTCTGCCTGTGTGCATATGTGTACACAACACATCTGTCTGGTTCCCACAGAGGTCCGCATCGGATCTCAACTTCTCAGAGCTGGAGTTACAGGGATTGTAGGATGTTGTTGCTAGGAGCCCATCCCGGCCAGGCTTCTCAGGGACAGCAGGTGGGACTGCTGCAGCAGTTTAGCACTGCAGAAGTCACGTTACACAGTGTTGGCAGTGTTTGAAAGCCTCGTATTTATCTACGACTTGCTTTCTTGTTGAGACAGGGTCTAACTGTAGCTCTGGCTGTCTTGAAACTCGCTATGTAGACCAGGATGGCCTCAAACTCAAGATAAATCGCTTGCCTTTGCCTCAAATGCTGGGATTAAAGGTGTGTGTGTCACCAAGCCCAGCTTATCTAAGATATTTTAAGTGGGAAAATTTGAACTTTTTTAGCTATGACAAAGTGATTTCTCTGATATGTGGTTTTAAATTATAGGAACTCCCATAGATAATATAGTAAAAGATTTTCTTGTAAGTGAAGACTGCTTTTTACAAATATTTGGATCTGTACATAGAAATCCCCTTTAAAGGTAGGCATGGTGATACACACCTTTAATTCCACCATTCAAGTGGCAGAGACAGGTAGATTTCTGTAAATACAAAAGCTGCTGTGAGACACTGTCTCAGAAATAGGGCTAGAGATGGTTCAGTTGTGCTCTTCCAGAGGACCTGGGTCTGAGGCCCACACCCATTTGGGGGCTCACATGCTTTGTAACTCAGCTGGCATCCAAGGGCACTGCATACATGTGCCCAGACATATATGCAGGCAAAACACCCATACATGTTAAAATAAACAAACCTACATGCACAAAGTTTTTTAATGGTACTCTCAAATCAGTTATTTTTCCTGTCATGTATTATGTATGCCTTTTTCTGTTCTAATGGTTATGTTGTATTGACTCTAGTAAACTCAAGATAGTATTCTTAGCCTCTAACTTGGTTTCTTCCGTATTTTCTCATTCCCCCCATGTTTGCCATGATACATATAATCTTACAATACTCATAGAATTTATTTCTCTTGTAGTCTTTATCCCAGGATTTACTATAAAGTTTGACCTTTTCTAAAAGGAAGATATTATGTATAGATGAGTGTTTTATTTGCTTCAGAAACCCGTGAAGAATACACAAATTAAGTCTCCTTTAATCAAAACATTTGAGACGACCAGTACATCAGATTTCTGAAGCTTCAGAATTTTGGGATATTTGCACAGATGTGGAGTTGTCAAGTTGGGTCATCATGTGATCACATAGGTGGTCAAAAAAATTTTTATTAAGGTATTTTAGAGCATTTCGATTTTGTCAACTAAGAACATTCAACAGAGAAAGTGAACAATGAAGTGAAATTTAAGACAAAAATTATTTTTTTAAGTGGCGAAAATTTAGGATTGGAATCCAAATACTTGAAGAAAAGAGAAGACAGCATTCCTTTACGTGGACTCAGCCAGAATCTGTTTAGTAATTCAGGTGAGAAGACCTGTGTACTGTGTATGGTACAATGTTGTTTCATTAGATGTGTCTACGACTAAAGTAGTAACAGGTTATATGTTTTGTCTCTTGCAGACCATCAGAAAGATGGCATGCTGGGAGCACTGCAGACATCTTCCAAACCCACAATTCTCCCCTCTTCATCTTCATCGTATTTCCCTGGGCAGTTACCAAGTAGTTAATCCAATACCTTTGATTGCTTACTGACAGTTTAGAAATTCCAATGATTTAACAGACCATTAATAACAAAACCATTTTTTTCTTGTTCCTGTTAGATCGTTTGGATTCTTTATAATACTGCTGCCATTTACAAACTTAGGAAATTGATAAGGATTCCGAGTAAATGGTATTTTCTGTGAACAGAATGTTTCAAAAAAATGTCACTGACTGTATCAGACTCTTGCCAGTTGGTCTGAATAGGAACACTAAATCAAAGATATACCTGCAGAGAATAGTAGTATAAGCTGAAGACTTGGGATTCATACTGTCATTTTTATTAGTAAAAAAATTCTTAATTTGCCACCTGAGAGTTGGGCAAGCTTCCACCTGTGATCTTTACATTGAGTTCTTCTATTACTTTCAAAGTTGGTTTGTTTTTGAGATAGGGTCTATTATGTAGTTCAGGCTGTCCTGGAACTTGCTATGTATGTAGACCAGGCTGGCCTCAAACCCAGATCCACCTGGCCTTTGCCTCCCAAGACCTGGGACTAAAGGTGTGTACTGATAAATCAGGTGAGCCTGATTTATATAATACATGTGGTTTATTCTTTCTCCTCTCCAGATGGTCTCCAATTTCCTACTCACCCAATTTCATGTTCTTTCTCCCTTAAAAAGAAAAAATTAACCAATGAGTAAGATAAAAATATCAAACCAAAAACAATGGATTTGACCTTGTGCTAGTCAACAACTGGATATGAGCGTTTGGAGTTGGTTGACATATCTAGTGACAGTCTTAAGCACCTTGAGTGAAATTAAGTATTCATAGTGAGTAAATTATTTTCTGACACATTTAATCTATGAAATGAATTGGGACAGTATTTACATGACTAAACTGCTTTAGTCATCTGGGCTGAGCATAGTTGATTTTGAGACTTTCATACAAGATCATCAGTGTAATAACACCATAAAAATGGTCCTTTTTATAATATTAAGTATGGTGCTTTATAATAATAAAATTTGTGCTCAGTGTTTGTTAGTTGATAAAGCGGGACCGCTAACTATTGGAAGTTACAACTTTCTCATTAAAAAAACCCAACCCTCTATAATCTTAGAGGTCTAATTTTGTTTTCTTGTTGACAACCACACAAAGGAAATTAAAATCCTAAGACCCCCAAATCTTATCTGTTAAAAATGTAACAATCATGTGATATTTTAAAAGTTTCAGGGGCTTAGTGGTTGATTAGCACTAGCTACCTCTTTTAGAGGACATGGGTTCTAATCCCAGTGCATCAGGCATGCCTGTGGTTTCTAGATATAAATGCAGGCAAAACATACACACACACTGCTGAAGACATTTTGAAACAGTGACATAATAACTGAGGGCCACAGGAAGACAGGGATCTTTAGTCTCACTTTCAGGATGATGGCAACTGCCAGCTAGCTTCAACAAGGGCTGTAATAAAAGTTCAGTGATGGAAGAATATTGCTACAATTACTTGAAAGCACTTATTCTGGAAAGAAGTCTCTTGGCAGGACAGACCTGTTATAAATACTATAAAATAAACGTAAGAGCTTGTGGCAGGCTTTGGAAAGGGATTTAAGACATATATAGCTTTTTAAGAGATACCCTCCCCTTACTATTTATAGTGTGTCCAGGCTAGGGCAGCTCATTTCCACAGCAGGCTGTTGATGAGCTGTCTCTGTGCTAAGTGTCCACACACACAGAGACAGCGCTGACTCTCTGCTCTACCTCTGCAGCTTTTGTTTGAAATTGTTTTGTGTTGTATAACTGTACATGTGTTAATAATCAAAATGTTGCTTTTTGCTATTTCTGAAAACTGTGGCCTTTGTTAATAAAGTACTGAAACCTCAGAGTTTTATATGCCAGAAGCATGTTTAGAAAATAAAAGACTGACCATGTGTGCTTAGAAAATCAAGTATTTCCAGTTGACCTGCAAACTTTGTATTTTTGTCTTCAGGGTTTTTGTTTTTGTTTTTGGTAAGGTGAAGGCAGCAAATGGATTGAAGAGAAGATAAGTTAAGGTAAGAAGACTTGTTACTGTGAAACAGCTTATGGCAACAAAGCCTAAACTGGCCTTACAGGGAGGGACTCACAGATCAAGACCTTTTTAAAAAGAAAAAAATCATTAAAATATTTAATTTTATTAACAGAATATTTACATTTGAGACCTTATTTAATCATAGTGAATGCTCCAAGTTTAAAAAGCATTAGGCAGTAACCACACACAAGATGAAAACAGTGTAAACTATACAATACTTTATGTACATTTTTTACAAAGTAACACTTTTTTAAATAATATAACTGGACACAAAAATATACACTTTAGAGAAATTCACATCAGTAATTGTATAAAGCTCTCTTCTAGGGTCCTGAAAATTTAGGACAAACATTAGCTCTGTAAATAAAGTGTTACTGTGACAGTCCTGAAAGGCCACTATATATATTTATCTACATATAGATATCACATTGACATTTTCAAGGCTACCAGCTTTACTATATAATTTTTAGATTATGTATTCAAGTGTTGAGGTCCTTATGATTATGCAAATATCAAAAGAACAGTGGTATAAGAAGCAGAACAACTTTAAACAACTTGAGCCAGAACACAGAAGGATAGGCTCTGACCACCCCAATGTAAATTCTAAGTGGCTGATATTTTCATACTTCAGAACAGTAGTGAATAATGTTTTAAATAAAATTATGGCAAACAAGCTTGAAACATGATTCTGATTTTCTACAATTTTCACAAGTTCTTTTAAATGCAAACAGTTCTTTACCATTTCTTTTCTAGTGCATCTGCATTAAGGCTTTGAATTATTTGACCCAAGATTTTACAATGACTCAGGTATTACAATGTTAAAGCAAACAGGTCCATAACCATCCTGCCTACTGTGTCACTGAGTCAGCACGAGCAGGTAAAGGCTCAACACCTAAGGAAATGGCAGAGACGCCGACAGCAGAGTTACATATATAGCTTTAATTAAAGATGTGTAATAAAACAGTTTAGTGGCAAGAGCGTGGTGCTAATATAAACAAAAGGTTTCTTTTCGAAAGAAAGTGTAACATCTTTGGAAAACTGTCCGGTTCTTTCTTTAGTTCCCACGGAGTTCATGCAGGTATTTCTTAAGACAATCTTAAGTACATTGTGGATGGAAATGGAATGTACATCCAGAACTACAGGTGAAAACTAAGACCTGGGTGCTGACAAGCGTCTTCCTGATCTCGGTCACACATTCGTGTCCTGGAGTAAAGGTTCTTTGGCCTCTCCTGGCGCTTGTGTACTGTGAGGATGGCTGTGACCGCCACAGTGCTTCCTCCAACTGCTGGACCTTAAACTTAAGTTAGTGTGTTCCGGAATAAACAAGGCAACGAGCAGAGCCAGCAGTACCGAACAGGCTCCAAAGAGGAAGGGGGGACCAGGGATGATGGAATTCTGAGGAAGAAACAGTGGTTACATTTTTTTTTGCACAAATACTCCCCCTTCCCCAGCCTCCAATAACTGCTCAGTGACTATTTGCTCAGATTTTTTTTTTTTTAAAGTCAGACTTCTTTGAAGCAATAGCTATAAAATACTTCACTTTTCAGGAGAAAAGGTATTTTTTTATTGTAAAATCCTGTCCGTAAAAACTGGCAAAGTAACTTGGATAACTGTGGGTGACTTTTAGCACAGAGCCTGAAAACAGGTCTCCTGTGTCCCTCCACTTAGTCTACTGTTCCAGAGGAAGACAGGAGGAGCCTTGGAGTCACATACTAATAATACACCTGTAGAATCGTTTGTTTCAAAAATAAATACAGTGTTGCTAACCACAAAACCAAAAATTTTTATTTTGGCCCAAATCATTCATTCTGGGCAAAACCTTACAACTGTTTCTGTTGTATATGGCCCACATTAAATGGGCTGGCCTGGAGAAATGCTTGCTTAATCAAGGAAACTGCAAAGCTGTTAGTATTGGCTCAGTGGTCCATGTGGTTTGGTGTTGGTAATTTCAGTTGGGAAATCAAGCAAGTCAACAAATGTCTACCATACACATCCGACTCATTCTGTCAAGAATGGATGATGGCTGTGGCACTCACAAGTCAGAAGGAAGGCAGCAGTATGGAATGCAGAAGTGGCTGCCATGCTATTATTAGGCACAAATTGACAAAATGGGGTTTCACAACAAACACTCTAACTAGACTTAATACCAGAAACAGGTTTACACAAAAGCTTTTGTTTTCAAAAATACCCTTTAATCCAGCCAAATAAATGGAATATGGAAATGAAGAATTACCTGTTCAAAGTGGTGCTGAGGGCTTGTGTTTGTCCCCAGGTCTGTTCCTGTGATCGGCAGTTCTTTAAGTTCCACATGGAATATGTAGAAAATGAACCCATAAAGGGCTGGTCCCAGACCATTGCACAATCCTCGGATTCCTGTTATCATTCCTTGAACAACGCCTACATGTTTAAAACAACCATTCAGCACATTACCATTTTCCTACTCTTTAAAAAACTGTAAATGTGAAATCGATCTAAATGGAGATTTTGAATGCTACCAGCAACTTACTCTAATGGAATTAAATGCTACTGAGAAGCCAGCAGTAGTTACTGCTCTATGCAAATACAAGCCCAGACATAACATATAGGATGAATTCTGGGTATCAAAAGCACTTGCCCCTTGGCAGTAAATCAGTCAGGAACCATATACATTAAAAACCAACAAACAGTTTTACTGAGTGATTCTCAATTTCTATAGGATCATCTTTCTAAATGAAATTGCAACTTCTTTTTACCACAGGCTTTTCCTTCCTCATTTTAATAAGCGACTGCCACTGTGCTACAACCCTCTTCTCTCTTAGAGCCAGGTAATTTTAAAGGGTCCCGATGAACCCTGAAGTACCTATCACATAGCACAACAGTGAAACCGCAATAGGAAATTCGGACACAAATGTACAGTGTCCCTCACAGGCTCACATGCTGAATGCTTAGTGCTACTTGTAGTGCTACTTGGGGAGGCCCTAGAATCAGAGTGCTGTAGGTGAGTCCTTGGAAGGATATCTTGTCCCTGTCAACC